ACAAATGCAGTAACCTTGAAGGGGCCCTTGTGGCAGCAAGTTTAGTTGTTCTGTTAGGTGAGTCAGTATTGGAAGGGCTTCTCGAGTTGTCACCTGTCCTTACCTGATTCGAAGCATCTTGAAGGCAGCTGTCCTGCTTGTTTCACCCCTGGCTGAGTTCCCAGGACAGCATAGCCCCCGACACGGAGTAGGGAGGCACTTAGCGTTTGTCGAATGAAGGATGGATTCCTCTGCTTTGACCTCTTTCAATACTTTTTACATTCTCATTTACTTATTATATTTTTATTTCAGAGTTGATTAATTCAAGCCCTCTTTTCCAAATGAGGCTGCAGTATCCTTTAGCTCAGAAATTACGCCTTCCGCATCTTCCTCATCTTTGTACCTCTCCCAGGATCTTGCCCCAAGTAAATACCCTCCATATGAAATTAATTGATTGAATATTTCTTGGAAAAAGTAAGATTCTCTGAGAAGTCTGTGCAGGAAATATTGTTTGCTTAGCTAAATTACTCAGATATTCAGAATGAAGAAAACTTGGAGAGATTTAAAGTTGCTTGTGATTAAGGTCAAGGTGGTTCAGTGGGTTTAAAAAAAGGTTTTTGACTTCCATAACCGAAATTGTGCAGAATTAAGCAGTATCTAGTAAAAAAATTTTTAAGTATTTTTTCTTTTGTTTAGTTATTGCCAAAATGTCATTTTTTCCCCTCCACAGTTGAGAAATAGGATGCTTTGAAATAGTTTGAAAATAATTTTTTTTTTTTTAAAGAAGGAAATTACTATTTTATGAAGAAGATGCCTTTAAAAAAGAAAACTAAGAATGTTCTGTTTTGAAGAACAATACTAATCCCAAAGCCGAATTTTGGGTTCACAAATTAATCACAGTTATTCCCTAAGCCTCAAAGAAAACTCTAAGAACATCTGATACAGGAATCTAGGGAGGGGATAATGCAGAGAGGCTGCTTTGATCATCCTTAGGAAAGCAGAGGCGTTCCTTCAGAAACAGAGGAGTCAAATCTAGAAATTCAGGAAAGACTTTTCCCAAAGGGTTATTCTGGCAGCGTGTTGAAAAGGGGTTATAAAAGCAGCAAGTTCACAGCCTGAACAATAAGTTAAATAAATGTTAGGGAACTATTTCCTTTCTTATTCTGAGATGAGGCATACCTTTAGTTTCCCCTTGCTGACAGAAATTCTCCTCAGCCTGGGATGGCTTAAAAGTACAGTTTGGAATGGAAGACAAATTGCCTTCTCTGTAGGCATGCGGGAAGGGCTTAGAGAAAGCCCTGAATCTCTAGGTCAGGACTCAAGGAGCAGCGCTTGGGTTGTCTGTTACTCTTCTTGTGATCAGGGATGTTTGTCTGTGAGGGTGGACCTAGGTTGCCCTGGGTGGCTGTTGAATATAATTTCAAGCTACCTGATGAGTAGGGCAATGGAATCCAGGCCCTTATTCTGAATATCACAGTTCTCAACAAGCTGAGCAGGCCTGCCAGGGATAAATATAAACCAAGTCAACAAATATGTAGTCAGTAACTGTTAGGGTTGTAATTCCTTTCCAACCACCCGAATTAACTGACAGAGTGTTAGCCTCATAGAAACATGGGCATGTTTCTGTGCCATAGTGTTTAGGTAGCAATAATGAGCTGTGACGTTTTAAAGGACAGCTGTAAAGTAACTCACCAGATCCCATGCTGGGATTCAAGTTGACTCTGGAATTTGTTTCACCGCTTTTCAATAAATAAATAGTTGAGGAAAGATTTGGCAAAAGGAAGAAACTCTCCTCCTTGTCCTCATCGTCTCAGGAAAGTGTCTGCTGTTAACAAGTTGTTTGAATGTTTACTTTGCCTTGACTGCCTAGCAGTGGTATGTCAGTTCCTGCCCTTGAAACAGGGGAGAATTCAAATAAACCAAAAAAGGCCTTCACACAGCTGGCCCTTTCTGCCAGTGAGTGGTACTGTAGTATTTTCTCCCACTTTTAAAAGAGCTCATCGAGGAAACAGGTAAAAGGAAGTCCTTGAACTGATAGTAGATGAACTTGAGTTTGCAACTTGGAGAGTTTGGAGTATGTGGTGTAGAGAAGAAGCAAGCAGATCCTGAGAAGTACTTGATTTATTCAAAGACATTCTTAAAATGCCTTGCCTTGGGTTACTATACGCAGTTTATCAGTGGTTAGAGTTAACCTTTCTTTTCACAAATAAGTATACATGTAGAATTCTCACTACTGAAAGGTCATTAGTGTAGCTCTGGCCTTACATTTTGTTGTGTTCTGTAGTCACAAATTCTGTATCCTGGCCAAGCAGGAATATGGGGAGTGGAATTTGTCATCAAAATAACCACTCTTTGGATCTCTAACCTAGCAGTTATACTTGGTATACAGTAGGTACTTACTGTATGTTTGCTGATTTTTGAAATCATATCTATGAATGAATAAGTGAATGAAGGAATAAAAATATAGCTAGGTTACACAGAATTCAGTTGAGATAACAGTTCTCATTAAATACTACTTTGTTAAGGTACTTCTGGGAATTACATTCTATGAAGGTATTCCTTTCATTTTCAGAAACATCAAGTGCCTCTTTTCTGCTAGGCATTAGAATTTGCAAAGTTCAATATGACATCATTCTTGCCTTTAAAGAGGACACGGTTATGTAACCAGATAAATTGCAGAACAGAGTAGTGAGTGCAGTGGTAGGCAGTGACCAGGGTATAGAGTTAGCACAGAGAAGGAATAAAGCATATCTGGAGAATGGCATGGACCATGTTCCTGATTTATTTGTCTGGTTTATTGTTCATCTCTCACACAGAATGTAATGTATACATTTTTTTGTCTGTTATTTTTTACTTATATATGTATTTAAGGTGCTGTAACCCCAGTTCCTAGAATAGTACCCGGCGTATAGTAAACATTCAAAGGGAGGCTCAAAAGGGAGGGGATATATATATATAGATATATATATATACACACCTATGGTTGATTCATGTTGAGATTTGACAGAAAACAACAAAATTCTATAAAGCAATTATCCTTCAATTAAAAAATAAACTAAAATGAATAAACTGTAAAAAAATTCAATAAATACTTGCTGAATGAATGAATAATTTTCCTTCTGAAAGGAGTTTACCGATTTTATTTCCACCAATGAGATATTATAGTGATTTTTACCTACATCTTTACCAGTGCTGGGTTATGTGAAACTTCTTTTTTAGCTTTGTTAATGTGTTATAGGATTTCTATATTAAAAAAAGACCCCACAAAACCCAATATTTCCGTGGCTGTCAACCATCCATCCTTAGCAGTTTGATTTTTCTGCTGCCATTTATAGCAATGGGCTTCCCTGGTGGCTCAGATGGTAAAAGAATCTTCCAGCAATGTAGGAAACCCAGGTCTGATCCCTGGGTCGGGAGGATCCAGATGGCCAAAGCATAGCTATTGAGCAACCTCTTCTTCAGCTGTTTTCCCCTCTCTAGTCCTCCCCATTTCAGGAAACAGAACTTTATTCTGTTACATCAAAAGCTAAAAGTTATCCTTGACATCTCTTTATTTCGCCTTCTCTACCCAAGCCTTCAACAGATTCTGTTGGTTTGCCTTTAGAGTCTGCTTTGAATCTAGTGATTCAGTGACTGCCTCTGTTGTATCTGATGCACCCTATAGACCAATGAAAGGCAGTCCCTTATTACATCTATATGTTTTGGTCCTTGGAGCTTGTAAAAGTTCTAGAAACAGTCTTATATTTTAAAAGTAATAAGGCAATGTCCTGATACAGAGCTTAACAGTTAGGGCAGTATAGATGAGAGAATCCTTGTGACATAAATGAGACAAAATACTAATTCTATAAATGAGAAAAGGTAAACAGCTCTTTGAATGAAGCAGCGTGGTCCATTGAAAATTCAATTATTCAGATCCAAATTCTGAACTCTTAGAGACACTGCTGTATGTTACTCTCCCAACTCTGCTCTTCTGTGAGGCCAGGTAAGAAGAGAGAATGGCAGTTTGGGGGGCTGAAGCTTTTCTTCGTCTTAATCTTGTGAATCACTGGATTCAGTGGCTGCCCACCATTTTGCAAGCTTTATATAGAGTGCATCAAACACAAGACAGGCAGCCACTAACGCAGTGCTCACACCAGCTTGTTCACACTCCTCCGTTCCTGCCCCACTTCAGTCTAGTCTGTCCTCCAGCCAGTCCTCTTAAAGCATAATGAGACCCCATTACTCCCTTCTCCGAGTCCTCCAAGGGCCCACTGTTGCCTTGAGAATAAATGCCAACATCTTCACCGTGGCTTTTGAAACTGGGTGGGATCTAGCCTGGCTTTCCTCTGTGCTCTTTTTCTGGCTCATCCCACTCTCACCACAGTGGTCTTCGCATGTTCTGCAGAAGGCTCAGTCCCCACCCAAGTCTGCCCTTAGCTTTCTCTGTGCAATCCATGAGTCCCCATCTGAAAAAAGGGAAGAAAACCAGGAATACCTAGCTCATAGTGTTGTTGCAAAGGTTCAGTTAATATATGAAAAGCACCGAGATGGTGTCTGGCCCATACTAAACACTGTATAAACATTAGTTATAATTTTGTTGTTTTTGTTATTGTTTGTATCTTAAGGAATGTAGAGAAGGAATGCGTTTTGGTTGAGTTTTAGATGGTTGTGAGTTGTACAAACAGAAATGGGCGAAAGGCCGTAATGGATTCATTTGGAATGATTGGGTCCATATAAAATAAGTGTCTTAGTATCTTGGAAGAATGAGTGGAACTTCCAACTTTAATGTCTGCAGATTATTTTGTGAACTGGGAAGATGTGGATCATTAAATGCCTAGTATTTGATGCAGTCTCTGTGAAGCTTGCGAAATTGAAGGCAGCTACCACGTGCAGGACTTTGGCTCTTCAGAGAATAGATTTCAACTGTTTTTGTACTTTAGAATTTCCTTCTTCTTTTTTTTTTTTTCCCTGTGTCTCTTAGTGAGCCAAAGCCTGGGTTTTGCCCTGGAAGTCTGCCCTGCCCGCTTCTGTAATCTGGCGCTATGCATCCAGATTCTAGACCCTTACAGACGCTGCTGTACATGACTCTCCTGATGCTCTGCGCTTCTGTGAGTCCAGGTAAGAAGAGAGAATGGGAACTTTTGGGCTGAAGCTTGCCCGCATCTTAACCCTATGAAAAACGTCAACTTTAATGCTTTGCCAATAGTAATGGTTTATAAAGACATTTCTAAGATTCGTTTGGCCAGCGGAACGATTTTAAAAACTTTAATTAAACAATTCAAGGATTTCTTAGTAGTGCTTCTAGGCACTCACAGTCCTTCCCATCATTGTCCTTGTAATTTATTCCTTTTGTTGCCTTGAAAATAAATATTTTCTGATCGTGCTTTTTTTCCAATGAGGATATGTTACAAATTTCTGAATTTGGAAGTTATAATAGGAATAAAGTGCTGACTGTATACCACCAAGGAGTAGTTTTAGAATCAGTATGTAAGAATGCTCAACTTGGAATGAGAGAACTTGGTTTGAATCCCAGGTCTCATGACCTTGCCTAATTTATTATCTCTTTGCATTACTGAAAAGCTTAAATGTGTTTATTATTAAATGTATATATAAGCCCAAGGCTGATACATGGCCCATATGCATTTCTTTTTATTTTAGATTTGTGTGAAGATTTATATAGAAGTATATACAAATATAGTGATGTTTATTTATTAATATCTATTTATTATCTTTGTTAAAAATACTATATAACTGTGTTTGATTTAGTAAGGGAAAATTGATTTAGTGGTTTTATTTCTGGTTTTTTGTTGGGCTAAATAGCAACCTCAGATTCAGCTGAGGCATTTCCCTTAATCTTTATTTCTGGTAAAATACCCTATAAAAGTAGATTCAACAATTTATTGTGTTTTTTCTTTTAAGTATTTTATTATACCAGATTAACAGGATTCCTCCCCCATCCTCTTTTATGGGTGGAGGAGAGGGATCTGTTTTGATACTTGAGTGCAAGAACCTCTCTCTCCCAAATTCCTGGAAGAATAGACATAACAAATGAAACTATTCCAAAAACCAAATAAAAATGTTCAGATTGATACCCCATTTATCCTTACATCCCAGAAAGGGTAGGTTTTGTATTTCAGTGTGGCTTCCTGACTTTCTACTTCTGCTTTCTTAAAAGTTGAGCATGATTTATATTAAAGAGACGTATTCAAGGAGTTGTTATTATTTAGTCGCTAAGTTGTGTCCGACTCTTTTGCAACTCCATGGACTATAGCCCGCCAGGCTCCTCTGTCCATGAAATTTCCCAAGCAAGAATATTGGAATGGGTTGCCATTTCCTTCTCCAGGAGATCTTTCCCACCCAGGGATCAAACCCCTGCTCCCTGCATTGGCAGTCAGGTTCTTTACCACTGAGCCACCAGGGAAGCCAAATCAAGAAGTACCATAATCTTTATTGATAAAATAATTTGCTCTTAAAGTCAAATCCTGTTGGTAATATGGAAGAGAATTCTCTTTATTTTGAAAGTCATCTCTTTTTCAGATGCCTAATTTCCAGTTTTTAAAAACTACTTCTTTCAAAGAGCAGCTTACCATTTCTCATTTACAAAATTAGTATTTTGTTTATTTAGATCATAAGGATTGTTATCTGTACTGCTCTAATTGTTATGTTCTATATAAGGACATTGCCTTGTTTCTTTTCAAATGTAAAGCTGTTCCTTGAACTTATACAAGCTCTTAAGGACCATAACATACAGATGCGGTAAGGGATTGCCTTTTGTTTTAAAGGGATTGCCAGTAAGTATATTAAACGTGCTGTTCTTTCTCTCTCCCCTTACCTCCCCTTACCTCCCCTTCTCTCCCCCACCTCCACCCCTTTGTATACGGGGAACGCTCCCTTGCAGACTTGGCACCTTATTTTGTTTCTGAGCCATTGTCTGCTGTCCAGAAACCTGGTGGACCTGTAGCACTGCATTGCTCTGCTAAACCTGTGACTGCTCGCATCTCATGGTTGCATAATGGAAAAAGGTTGGACAGAAACGTGGAGCAGATTAAGGTTCATCAGGGCACGTTGACTATCCTTTCTCTTAACCCCTCACTTGCGGGTTATTACCAGTGCGTTGCCAACAACAGCATCGGTGCCATCCTGAGTGGTCCTGCAACCATATCCACTGCAGGTGAGTTTAATTGTTGTCCCTGTGATAGATGCTTTTTCCTGAAATTACTCTCGGCACCTGCATTGTTTGAGTCGTGGAAGTAGCATGGGCTTTGGAGTAAGATACATTTGAGTTCTCATCCCAGCCTTGACATTTGTTTTGTTTAACCCCAGGGGAATGATACTTGAACCTCTGTGAGCCTAGCTTGGTGTCTTCCATTGTAATAAGGGATGTGAAAATTATTTTGTGAAAATATTATTTATTTTCACATTTATTTATTTATCACATAAAATTATTATGTGAAAATTAAATTGTCCTAAGTAGGACAATTTTCTAACATGAAACTGAATTTCCTTGTATTTTAAAGTTCTTAATATCAGCAACAACAGCTGTTGTCTGCTTTGATGCAGTTATTTCATGCAGTCCTTTATCTTTTTCTCAAATCTCATTGTTTTATTTATTTTGATTACAGAGTGATTTTAGTTTATTTAATTGAAACCAGGTTAAAGAAGTGCGGAGGGGGGAAAATAACAGCAAAGAAAGGAATGTTGAGTATTGAACTTACGGAAAATCTAGACTGTGTGGTTTTCTTAGTAAGTTTGGGCCATCTGCCTTTCAAATGGTGATGGCTTCCAGTAATGGAAAACGTCTTTGTGAGGGCACCCCTATTTACAGAACAAATCTGGATTCCCCAGGAGTAGTGAGTTTGTCGTAACTGAGAAGAGTAAATGTTGTTGTAGAGCTGTGACCCATGGACAGCTCCAAGTCACACTCTGGAGGGCTGACTTCCTAGGGGCAGGCTGCAGAGGCTGTCACCATTGCCCGTAATAAAGAGCCCGTCCATGCCGGCTCCATCTGTAGTAAGCTTAAACTGGGAGAAATTGAGACCTAGTTAGGGCACGTCCTTGGCAGTGGTGAAGACTCAGTGCTTCCACTGCAAGGGGCCTGAGTTCCATCCCTGGTCTGGGGAACTAAAATTGCCACCCCCCTGCCACCCCCCCCCCCAAGTTAAAAAAAAAAAAAAGGACTAATAGTATATTTGGGGCTTCCATGGGGGCACAGACAGTAAAGAATCTGCCTGCAATGTAGGAGACTTGATTCTCTCCCTGGAAATTCAAATGATACACTGTTTTTTGTTTTTCCCTATGTCCTAGGTTCATTCTTGTAAGCCATTTTATTGCCATGTGAGTGGCTACAAACAGAATAAAGATGCATAGGGAAAGTGAGCTGTGATGAGAGACTGGATTAAAAAGGATTCGTCTTGACAGAATGGGGAACAGTTATGCTGTATAGTTCTCCCTAATGTTTCAGGAAGAGTTTGCTTGTCTTGTAGTCTCCTGGAAGCCTTGACTTCTCAAAAAAGGTGCCATGACTAAGCCCCAGCCCTCAACCGTGCACCTCTATCCCAGCTGCTTACTGAGATAAACAGATTCTGCTACTCCGGAAACTGGGGTTAGCTGCCACAAACAGCTGTGGTGCCAATGTTGCTTCTGGTTTTAAAATTTCCTTTGGGGAAGAGAGTTCAAGTTTGCATTTATTTATTGATCCGTCTACTTATTTACTTATTTATTTTAGTTCTTGGTGATTTTGGTGCATCCACAAAACATGTTATCACGGCAGAAGAAAAGAGTACCGGTTTCATTGGCTGCAAGGTACCAGACAGTAACCCCAAAGCTGAAGTGCGCTATAAAATCAGGGGAAAGTGGCTGAAGCGGTCCACAGGTGAGAACTCTAATGAAAAGCCAGTGACACCGTGGAACAAATGTCATTCACCAGCTTCCTTTAAGCTCTGTGTGATGGGGGCTGTGGACACAGAAATATTTGAGACATATTGTCTCTCCTCTTGAGAGTCAAGTGGAAGAGACTAGAACAAATGGTTATAGTTTAAGATAGAACACAATATAGAGTACAGGATAGAAATGATTATAGGAAATTCCCGGGTGGTCCAGGGGTTAAGACTCTGGGCTTCCAACGCAGGGGGCGAGGATTCAGTCCCTGGTCAGGGAACTAAGATCCTGTATGCTCAGAGGTGCAGCCAAAAAGTAAAAATTAAAAAGGAAATAATTACAACCCCGCACCTCTAAGGCTCACTCCTTCAACCTGTTCAGGAATTTACTCAGATAATATTTCCCTCAAGGTCGCTCTCATGGCTCTATCTAAAATGATATGCCGTGTTTTCTCTGTCCCCCTTGATTCAGCGTCATCTTTTCTGTAGCATTGTTTTATATCAAGTGATTGCTTGCTCTTTATTTGCCTCTCTCTTGGCTACGCCGTCCCTGCACTGGAATGCTGGCCGTGTGAGTGCAGGGTTTGCTCTATCTGCTTGCTTCATTGTTGTATTGCTTGGGCCCAGGCTGTTGGCAGAAAGTAGGCTGTCAGTGCATACTGTTGAGAAGAAAGGAATGAAGACATGGTTGACTACTGGGTGGTCAGTGCTGTAGGCAGAGGTTTGCCCAAGGTGATAGCTGTGGTCATTGTGTCTTTGTCCAAATACGTCTCTTGTGCTTTTGATTTTCTCAGTGAGTGGTCTGGAGTCCTGGGCCTGATTTTGTTACTCAAGTGCTGTTGACTTTTTTTCCTGTCTTGGCTTTCCTTTTCCTTCATTTAATGGTTTTTCCCTAATTGCTTATCAGCCGCTTGTGTCATGTCTACATTTAAAGGTAACTATCAACCTTTGTGAGTTTTAACTGGTGTCCTTCATAAAGAGAGAAGCCTAACTGCATTCCTTTCCTTCCTCAGAGAATTATCTAATCCTTCCTTCAGGAAATCTTCAGATTTTGAATGTATCCTTAGAGGACAAAGGATCGTATAAATGTGCAGCTTTTAATCCTATCACACATGAGTTAAAAGTTGAACCCACTGGCCAAAAGCTCCTTGTGAGTCGTAAGTATTTGGGGGAATCATGGTCACTGGGGAGAGTCCTTGGAAGCATTCCACGTGAAGAGTTGGGAAATGGGAGTTCATTTTTCTTTCACATCCTGTTTGTTTATCATGAGAAAGTCTTATAAAAAATTACATGCCTAAATAGCATAATTCTGTACATGTTTTATTAATACAAATATAATGGCTTTCCAGGAGAGAATTTTGGTCGAATTGACAGAGTAGAATTCATATGGAGAACTCTGCCTTTTGCTCAGAGAAAAAGAAATTAGAGAGACTTCCCTGGTGGTCTAGTGGCTAAGACCTTGCCATCCAATGCAGGTCGGGGGGCTAAGATCCCGTGTGTCTCAGAACCAAAAACCAGACCACAAACAACAGAAATTTATTGTAACAAATTCAATAAAGACTTTAAAAATGGTCCATGGCAGAAACAATCTTTGAAAAGAAAAATAAAAGAAATTGGAGAGCGAATATCACTTTATATCAGTGATAATCAACTTGGTGGCTGACTATGAATTATGCAAAAATATTTCTCACTTCTCTTTGAGATATAGTAGTTCATATCTGATTTTTAGCTTCGTGTGGTCAAGCTGTGACTGGATCAGTAGTCAGAGCACAGTGAAGGAGTTGTCCATGTGCTTGGTGTGAATTTGACATTTCAAAACTATTAATTCAGAAGTAGCCCTAAAAGATCCCCAAGTCTTTTAAAATCAATTCTCAACTGAAAATGGCTTCATTACCAAGTAGGACTTTGTAGTGTAGAAAAGAGTAAATGGGAAGATGAAGATGCTCACAGCTTTGCTAAGGAAGAAAGGAGAAGTGAATGCTTAATGATTTTTCTGCTCCGCCTTCTTTCTCCAGGTCCTTCTTCAGATGACTTTCACATTCTTCACCCCACCTTTTCACAGGCATTAGCCGTTCTCTCTCGTAGCCCCGTGACCCTGGAGTGTGTGGTGAGTGGGGTCCCGGCCTCTCATGTGCGCTGGCTGAAGGATGGTCAGGATGCGGTGGTGGGAGGCACGTGGAGAAGGCTGTATACGCATCTTGCCACGGACAGCATTGACCCAGCGGACTCCGGCAACTACTCTTGTGTGGTGGGGAACAAGTCTGGAGATGCCAAACACGTGTCTTACGTGGTGAATGTACTTGGTAAGACGTTACTTGTTAAGTGTTTTTTCAAGTCAGGCTATTTTTCCGATCTAACTGATGTTTGAATGGAAGATCTGTTTGTGAACTGTAAATGGAATAGAGACTATCTAGAAATAGCTACCCCAGTAGCCAGCTTCATTTCTCTAAAGCCCTGCTGGGACTTCCACGGGGGTCCCATGGTTTAAGACTTGGCGTTCCCAATGCAGGAGGTGGGGTTCAATCTCTGGTTAGGGAACTAAGATCCCACCACATAATGTGTGGTACAGCCAGGGATAAGAGAAGACTGCTGAGTTGGGCAGTATTTCTGTGTAGCACAGAGCCTTTCACCTGGGATTTTCTTGGGATCTCACCCCTACCCTGGTTACACAAAACGGAGCTGGTTCTTCCTTCTCAGTGACATCGAGGAAAGAGACTGGAGTCCAACCGGATGAAGGTTCTGGGCTGTATCAGTGTGTGGTGTCCAGTAACAGTAACTAAGACAGAGTGCATTGTCAGTTGTATCTGACTCTTTTTTGACCCCGTGGACTGTAGCCCACCAGGCTCCTCTGTCCATGGGATTGCCCAAGCAAGAATACTGGAGTGGGGTGCCATTTCCTCCTCCAGGAGGTCGAACTCCACCCAGGGGTTGAACTGGCGTCTCCCACATCTCCTGCACTGGCAGGCGGATTCTCTACTATTGAGCCACCAGGAAGCCGAATAAGACAAAGTACTAACTAGAAAATGTCATCTCATAAAGGCAGTGGGTTTCATTTTATTTTCCCTTTTGAAATGGTTTCACTACTGCTGACTCATAAAATTTGTGTTATTTTCACTCACATTCTGTGTGTACTATTTATTTCCGTGTCGTTCCTTTCTTCCAGCTACCTATCTCACTGTCATGTGTAGCAGCAAAATGTTTTATCAAAACAAATTTTCATGAAAACCAGAAAAAAAGTTTCATACTAAATATAGTTTTTGTCAACCTTCTGGACCTGTTTATGTGCAACAGTGGCCTGAGGCAGGTTATACTGGCATTAGTGTATGTGTATGGCAAGCAGGCTTTAAAATTTAATGATAATTAGGACTAGATTAATATACACAATCATTTAATATTGGCATATGTTACAAATGCCAATACATGATTTACTTTGTCCAAGTAAAAAGTGGCCTGATGGATACTAAAAGAAGATTTTTTGCCCAGAATACACCTAACCTCAAAGCAGAATTCACCAGGAAAAAAAAAAATTTAACTTCCAAATAAGCATTCTTCTATTTTGGCTCTTGTATAGTATAAAATCCAAGGAAATTATTATTTCAAAACAGATCATCTGAAACCCTGCATATGTGCATATGTGTGTGCGCACATATGTTGGCTTGGGGGGTGGTTAATTGGGTGGAGAGATCTATTACATAAAAAGGGACTGCAACATATTAGTAACATATGGTTTATCCTATTGGAGGAAAGTCAATACATTTCTAATTTTTTGTTGATGAGAGAATATGAGGGAGGAAACAATACATATTGGTTTCAACTAGTTATTGGTAGAGTTTTAATGACTTGTGTGAGGGCTAACTTTATATTTTTTATTTTTATTTTTTATTAATTTTTATTGGTGTATTAGTTGATTTACAATGTTGTGATGGTTTCAGGTGTATAGCAAAGTGAATCAGTTATACAAATACATTTCTCCACTCTTTTTTAGATTTTTTTCCCATATAGGTCATGCAGAGGATTGAGTAGAGGTCCCTGTGGTATACAGTAGGTCCTTATAAGTTATAATATGTTTTATTTTTAGAACGTGCTTCAATTTCTAAAGGACTGCAGGATCAGACAGTGTCTCTAGGTGCGACAGTACAATTCACGTGTGAAGTTCATGGGAACCCAGCGCCCAACCGTACCTGGTTTCACAATGCCCAGCCTATTTACTCTTCCCCACGACATCTAACTGTGGGAAATGGATTGAAAATCAGTGGTGTTACCATGGAAGATTCCGGGCTGTATCAGTGTGTAGCAGATAATGGGATTGGATTTACACAGTCTACTGGGAGACTTGAAATTGAAAAAGGTAGGCTTTTAGGTCATGTCATCCTAGGAAATTTCACTGTACAGATGGGATTTTGTTTTGATTAAAAATTAAATCATCTTTACAAAAAGGAAGTAATCCTATCACCATAACAGAACTGTGTTCATTTTCCCTGTTCCTTTCTACTTGCTGGTAGACATTTCCATGAAGAAGCAACCTTATTTAATTAGGCTCATAAAAAAAAATTTTTTTTAATATTTTTTAACAGATACATCATTGCTTTAAAAAGGTATAATTTTAAAAAATATGTGATAAAAATCTCACTCGTGTTCCCTAGCCAGTCAGATATCTCTTAGAACTAACAAGTTTTGTAATTTTCTTGACTAGTCTTGTATGCATGTATATGGTTAATTACATGTAACATGTGAGTTTGTGTGCATTTAATAGCAATATCAATTTTTTTTACACAAATGATGCTGGCATTCATATAAATTACCTTGAATTTCTCCTTTAAAATTTCCTTGGATTTTACCTTAAAAATTACTTTGATTTTTTTCACTTAACATATATCCTGGCCATCTTTGCATATGGTACATTAAATAATATTTTCATTTCTTTTAAAAAATGGCTGCTTAGTCTTCTATTGTATAGCTGTGAAGGTCTGACTGATACCTCATGGATGACTGTTTCTAATCCTTTGCTATTATAAGGACTCTATGATGAATGTCCTTCTACATAGATTATTTTGCACATATGTGAACCTCTTTAAAGTAAATCCTTAGAAATAAACTTGCTAAATAAAAGCATATATGCCTTGGTAATTTTGACAGATACCTTGCTCTCTCTCTCTTGTTATCATTTTACACTCCTACCAGCAATGTTTCCTTATATTCTCACCAAGGCAGTAGATTGTCAGAATTCTGTTTTATGTTTGCCTATCTGATAGGTTTTTCAAAACTACGTTTTGATCCCTATATTTTTTATTATTATGAGTGACGCTGAGCATCTCATCATGTGTTTCTGAGCTGTTGAATTTGCTTTCCTGTGTACTGAGTGCTCATTGTCTTTTGTCCATTTTATATTAGGTTATTTGTCTTTTTTATTATTTATAGGCATTCTTTATATATTATGGAAATTAAGCTTTTGCTGAGAGTTATAAATATTTCAAAGAATCAATATGACAGAGACCAACTCTCTGAACTTGTTGCAGTTACTTTAGACTCTGCAGTTACTTTAGACTCATTAATTTCAATGAATTACTTCAGATGTTAATAATAAAGAGTTTTTACATGGCATTTATTTGGAAATTTAGAATTATAGTTCTCAATGGCTGGGTGAAAAAATCGTATTGGAAATTTAAAATTCAAAATAATAATGAATGTCAAAGTCAAATTGTGTGGGATATAGGAGAGCAGAATAGAAAAGGATTTATACCCTTAAATGCTTATAAAAAAAAGCTAGTAAAACTAAAAATTAGTGGGCTAAGTAAAATAATAGAATAGATTTAAAGAAAACAGAAGAAAGGAGATAATAAAGATATGGACAGAAATCAGTTAAATAGAAAATTAAGATAAAATAGATAGGATCAGTAGGGATAAAGTTTAACCAAGGAGTTAGCCCAGTAATCAGTCAGAAAATTTAAAGTGGTGTTCATCCAATTTAATGAATAAAGGAGAAGAATACTATGATGATCTCAGTAGAATCAGAAAAACCATTTGATATAATTCAGTATCCATGTTAGACACTCTTGGAAAAATAGAAATAGGAGGGAACTTAACGATAAAGAATATCCAATAAAAAAAACTTACAGAAAACATTACTTTTAATGGCAAAACGTTAAAGCATTCCCTTTAAAATATCTTTTAGTTTTCATTATAGTTCAGATTCTAACCAGCACAGGATGATAAGAAAAAGAAATAAAGATATTAGGATATAAAAAGGCAGGAGGAGAAGGGGGCAACAGAGGAAGAGATGGTTGGATGGCATCACTCACTCCATGGACATGAATTTGAGCAGACTCCTGCAGATAATGAAGAACATGGAAGCCTGGCATGCTGCAGTCCATGGAGTCATAAAGAGTTGGACAGGATTTAGTGACCAAACAGCAATAAAGATGAGAGAGAAAGAAACTTTCTCTTTAAGCTGTTCTCTTTCTCTTTAAACTCTTTTCTTTAAGCTGTTATTAATGTTATTAATTCACAGCTCCTATGGTTGTCATGAGAGAGAATCCTCTATAGTTTGTTGGCAAATTATTAGAAATAATAAAAGCTTTAGCAAGGTGGCTGATGAAGACCAATAAACAGGAATCAGTTGCCTTTCTATGTACCAGTGTGTTAGCAAGTTTCTCTAGAGAAACAGAACACAATAGGATATATAAGATACACATCAGAGATTTATTGTAGAAACTGGCTCACACAGTTAAGGTGGTCAAGTCTGTCATCTGCAAACTGGAGAAGGAGGTAAGCTGATGAAGCAGTTCAATTGTGGGAGAAGTGATGGGAAGTCTCAACCTAAGCCCCATAGCCAGAGGTCCAGGAGCACTGATGTCCAGGGTCCTCAGGGCAGGAGAAGGATAACTAGGCTTATAGAGAGAATTCGTTCTTGTGCATTTTTGTACTACTGAGGTCCTCATCGGATTGGATGGTGCCCACCCACATTGGGGAGGGCCATCTGCTATCCTCAGTTTACCAATTCAGGTGCAAATTTCTTCTGGAAACACCCCTCACAGGTACACCTAGTTATCTGAGCATCCTTTAACCCAGTCAAGTTGACACATAAAACTAACCATTACAACCAGCAACAGAAAATGTCATTTAAAAGTCACCTTTTTATATTAGAAACTTTAAAAAGTTCCAAGTACATAGAAATATATAACAGTTCATGGATACCAAAATTCAGTATTAACATACTTCTCAGGTCTTTCCAAAAGCTTTCTGTAGATTCGTGCAATTCCAACTAAATCCTATCACTAGTTTGAGGACCTAGACAAACTAATTCTAAATCATAGGGATGATCAAAAGACCAACAATAGCTAAGACACTCTAAAAGAAGAACAAAAATGTGGGGGGCCTTGCTTTACCAGATTTTAGAACACACACAAAAATTTATAGTAATTAAGATATGCTGTAGGGCTTCCCTGGTGGCTCAGTGGTGAAGAACCCCCCTGCCCATGCAGGAGACTGCAGTTTGATCCCTGATCTGGAAAGATTCCACATGCCATGGAGCAGCTAAACCCATGTGCCACCACTTTTGAGCCTGTGCTTTAGAGCCTGGGAGCTTCAATTACTGAAGCCCGTGCACCCTAGAGCCGGGCTTTGCAATAAGAGACACCACCACAATGAGAAGCCTGCACACCACAACTAGAGAGTTGTCCCTACTCCTGGCAACTAGAGAAAAGCCTGAGCAGCAGTGAAGATCCAGCACAGCCAAAAATGAGTAAACAAATAAAATCATTTTTTAAAAAAAAGACAGTGATGTATTATTGGTGCAGGAAAAGACAAGTAGGTCATGAAGGATATGCATGTAAGGATTTGACCTAGGTGGCACTGCAGATCACCAAGGGAAGGATATCCATTTCAGGGTTCCATGTGGGGATAACAAATGGAGAAAAGGAAATTAAATCTCTAACGCACAAAGACTAATTTCCAGTGGGCTAAAGACCTATATGTGAAAGGCAAAATGGTGAAGTTTTTCAAGAAAATATAGAAGAATATATGACCTAGGTAAAACTTTTTGACAAGAAATTTTTGGCTAATTTTTAAGAAAAGATTGGTGTGACCATGTTAAAATTAAAGCATCCTTATTATTAAAAGATACCATTAAGATGAAAAGAAAAACAGAGAGAAAATACTAGTAACAAATGTAATGCACAAAAGAGCAGTATGTAGTTACAAAGAATCCAGAACCATTATGAAAAAGATAAAGGACCCAGTAGAAAAAAGGACAAAAGGTATTTGACAGAGGAAGAAAAAATGAGTAGCAAATTAGCCTGTGAAAAGAGGTGCAACTTCATTAGTACTGAGGGAAATGCAGGTTATGATCCATGAGATAGCATTTTATAAGTACTAGATGGGCAAAAATTCAGAAATCTGGAAATTGTTGAATGACTGTCAAACGCAGGAAGTAGGACTAGAAAAGGAGAAAGATGTGCTGGAGAAAATGTCAGATGTCACTATTCTATTGTGAGGTCATGAAATATATGCTCCCAAAATATTTAGGACCAAAAGGAAGGAGGTGATGTCACTTTAGTTTACAAACAAAAATTTGTTCATGTATATGGTCAGAAATACATTTATCAACTATAATTCAGAACAGGTTTTTCTCCCAGAATTTTTGTGATCAGATTTTTGCATCCTGGAACCAACTTTTTTTTTTTTTTTTTTGAGGGCCTATTGCTTAGTCTTATACTTCTTTACACCTTTTTCATGGTAAAGTCTGAGGCTTTGGCTTCACATGTTCTGTATTTGCAGTGACCAGATATACTGAAGATACCTGTGGGCAAGCTCTCTTCACAGTTCTGTATTTACATTTATGCAATAGGATGAAATTATTTTGCATTGTAGATACTATATATAACGTACTCAATTTTTGTATGTGAATTATTTTTTCTTTAATAGGCAGTGGACTCAAGCCCATTATAGTTAGAGCGCCAACAAGTGCAGAGGTGGCCATTGGTGACTCTGTGACTTTGTCCTGCAATGCCACTGGGGTACCGGTGCCCACCATCCGTTGGTACGACAAGCACGGATTGATAACCAGTCATCTGTCTCAAGCTCTTAGATCTAAATCCCGAAAACCCCACTTATTAAGACCTGGGAGTTCTGACCCAGAGCCTGTCACATCCCGGGCGGGCTCAGGCTCTCTGCACATTCAGGCTGTTACTCGGGAACACGCCGGGAAGTACACCTGTGAAGCCACAAACACACATGGCACCACACGGTCGGAAGCCGTCCTTATGGTTGGTGAGTTGTCATTAGTGTCTTTTCCCAGATGAATGGGTTTCTTTGATAGTAAGGGATAAAGTAAAAGATACATTTTTTAGAGATTGTTGAACTTATTAAGTGAAAGTTGCTTAGTCGTGTCCAACTCTTTGCAAACCCATAGACTGTAGCCTGCCAAGCACCTCTGTCCATCGAATTCTCCAAGAAAGAATACTGCAGTGGGTAGCCTATCCGTTCTGCAGGGGATCTTCCCAACCCAGGAATCGAATCGGGGTCTCCTGCATTGCAGGCGGATTCTTCACCAGCTGAGCTGTCAGGGAAGCCCAGACTTATTAAGATATGCTTCAAACCCAAGTCTCTTGCATCTCCTGCATTGGCAGGTGGATTCTTTACCAGCTGAGCCACCAGGGAAGTCCTCATCTATATATTTCCCTCTTCCTTCTTCAAAGTTATTTTTCTAACAAGATGTATGCTATTCTTTATATTTTTATTGACGTGGGGCGATGATGACTTAATTTGGAGTACTGGTATATAGAATATCAATATTATTCAAATTAATTCAGATTTGACTTAATTCACAATCAAATCTGATATCAGTGGGCATTAGTGAAGATGCCCTACTCATAGGGCTGGTGTGAGAATTCCAGGAGACTGTATCTGTAAAGTGCTTAGAACAGTGTCTGGAAGTATTACTAGAAAGCCTTTAATAAATACTAAGTATTGGGTTATAATTATTGCTATCTAATTATTATTAAATTATAATTATCCCTTATGATTCCCTGGTGGCTCAGATGGTAAGAATCTGCTTACGAAGCAGGAGACCCAGGTTCAATCCCTGGGTTGGGAAGATCGCCCTGGAGGAGGGCACGGCAACCCGCTCCAGTGGTCTTGCCTGGAGAATCCCCATGGATTGGAGCCTGGAGCGCTGCCGTCCATGGGGCTGCAAAGAGTTGGACACAACTGAGCAACTAACGCTTCGTGGTAGTGTGTAAGGAATGAAGAAGTAGTTCCTGATTTTAGTAAACCTTAAAGAATCCTTAAGTATAGGAGGTAGTTAAGTGTTGCATAAACTTATACACACTTATGGATGTGTATATGTATATATACATGTGTGTGTTTATGTATCAGTCTGCCAAGCAAAAATAGGAGTGGCTCTGCTCAAAATTATTAGCCACAAGATGTGTAATGCAGGTACTGCTAGGGTAGAACATTTGCTGAAGTGGTCATTTTATGTAAATAAGGGGAAGATGGAGCGGTAGACATCACAGTCATAGCTGTTGGGACAAAGTAAGTGTCCAGTTGTCTGCCTCACTTTACTTACTCATTTATTTAATTTTTAATTTTTTTGGCCGTACCATGTCATGTGGGATCTTAATTCCCCGACCCAGGGATCGAACCCAAGTCCTCTGCATTGGAAGTGCAGGGTCTTAACCACTGCACCACCAGGAAGGCCCCCTAACTGCCTCACTTTAAATATGAGAAATCTGAAGTTATTGGAAGATACATAGTTTGTTTAGATGAGATATTTTTAGGTTTTGAAGATCCCTCTCACCCCCGGGATTTTATGTCTTGATAAGCCTCATTTTGTAATGTACAGTAACCCCATGAACCACATCCTGCCTGAGTGGCCCTCCATTGTGCCTTTTACATGCTCTACATTAATGATCAAAGTCTAGCTGAGTCTGTTAAAGCTCAAAACAGCATATAACAACCCAGTTCTTTCCCTGGAAGTCTGAGCCTATTGTTAAATTCTAGCGTGCTGACAGTCTTTACATTGTTTATTGTGAAGAGGGCAGTAAGCAAGATGAATCACTCCCTCACCTTTTTTTCTTCCCAGAGACGTTGGGTTTTTGAGGTTCTGGATGTACAAATATTTGTAGAGTGAGTTGTAACTCTTCAAAATATAATGAGAATTGGCCTAGGGTCCTAAATAGTTTGGGGTGGGGTTGCTGGTTTGAGTGGTCACAGGGGGAACCACTTAGGCAGATTTGGTTCTGTTCCTGTTGACTTGGTTTCAACTCAGAGTCATTAACTCATAACATGGCCACTGTCATAGTACTCAGAAAGCCAGTATTTTATCAATCTCTTTTACAATTCAAAAAAAAATTCTATCTTAAAAAATGCTAGATATCTCTTTTAGATGACCATTTCAAAGTTGTTTTGACGATAAAAAGAGTTGTTGTTCAGTCACTGTGTCCAACTCTTTGCGACTCCATGAACACCAGGCTTCCCTGTCTTTCATTGTCTCCTTGAGTTTTTACCAACTTGTGTCCATTGAGTCAGTGATGCCATCTGATCATCTCATCCTCTGTGGCCCCCTTCTTCTCTTGCCCTCAATCTTTTCCCAGCATCAGGTCTTTTCGAAAAAGAGTTGCTTTGAAGGTCAATTGAGATCATGGATGTGAAGAACCTTTGGAGAGTACTGTGAAGGCTTTATGCATTGTATCTAGCATCTTGTGAGCACTCTAATTGTGCTGTTGGGAACAGTAGAAGAAAATTAATTGCATCTCCTTTTCAATAAAAGTTACGGAAAAGTCTCTTTGCAGCCCGAATAACACAAGTGGAATTTTGATACTCCTGCAGTAGACACAGGCTGTAACATTGCATTCTTCTCATGCCTCTGTATAAACTGCGGCATGTGGTATTCAAACTCTTCTACAGCCAAATACCACTTCCCAGTGGTGACCTGCCCAGAGGATGCATGAAACACTAATGATAAAAAGGTCCTTCTCCACTGCCCTAAGCCACAACTAATTGCCTCCACTTGCTAGAATCCATCTCTGCATTAGCAGGCTCCCAGCCACACCCTTCACATCCAGCCCTCATTCTGACTCACTAAGTAAACAGGCCTGTTCCAGGAGCAATATTTGGAAGTTGTCTCAGGGAACTTAATTAATTTTCTTCTATCTTATTTTTCCACTAGCTTCTTGTTTTCTTTGATGGAGAAAGCTTCTGGGACACCTTTTCTCTCTTTTAAACAAACAGAACTGACCTCCCACTGTTAGCCCTGTTTTCTGGTTGGTTCTCTATGAAGCTGCAGTCGCTCTAAAAATACTCCCACCTTTTACCAGGAATCTGACTTCATTGTGGAAAAGAGACTCTGCTGTTGTTTCCTAGGCTCCCTTCCTTCGCAGAAGTAGGAGACCTTTCGTTGTCTGTATTAATAGCATTTTAGAGGGACCAGGCTGTCAATCCTCCGGTTTTATTGTCTTGGCAGTTTATTTGTTTTCATAAATTGCTCTCTCATTTTTTCATGGCAGCACCACTAACATTCTTCTGCCAGCTGTTGTCTCTTAATCTCTCAGAACCCAAGTTTCTTCATCTGTAAAACAGAAGTATTACTATCTTCCTAAGAATGTTGTTTGGAGAATTAAATGAGATGATGGTTATTTAATGTCTGGCTCCATGCTGAGCACATAATATGTGCTGTGTAATTCTTTCTGGGTGTAGGTGACCTATTTATTTTTTTAAGCACAAATAAATTATTTTTACCTTCCTCTATGTATTCTGTACATTCTTAGTAGTGAATATTAAGGCTGTTTTTAGATTGGCAGTTTTTAAAAAATTTATTTTATTGAAGAATAGGTGATTTACAGTGTCATGTTAATTTTTGCTGTATAGCAAAGTGATTTAGTTATCCATATAATACATTTTTCATATTCCTTTCCATTCTGGTTTTTTACAGTATATTGAATATAGTTCCCTGTGCTATACAGTAGGACCTTGTTGTTTATCTATTCTGTATATAATACTTTGCATCTCGGCTAACACCAAGCGACTAGTCCGTCCCTCCTCCACTCTGCTTTCGCTTTGGCAACCACAGGTCTGTTCTCTGTGTCTGTAGATAAGTTCATTTGTGTCATATTTTTGATTCTGCATATAAGTGATATTCTGTGGTATTTGCCTTTTTCTTATTTCGCTTACTGTGATACAGACTGGCAGTTTCTTAAGCCAACCTTCCATTTTATCCAGAAAAAACAATTGGAAGCAAGTAAATTCTTCCTTTACCTTTGCTGGTCTTGTTTCATTCCCTCCCTCTTGTCTCTGACTTGTCTTCCGAGTACAGAAGAGGTAGTTAGTTATGTTGTTGTATGCAGTGAAAGTGTTAGTTGCTCAGTCTTGTCTGACTCTCTGCAACCCTAGGGACCATAGCCCGCCAGGCTCCTCTGTCCATGGAATTCTCTAGGCAAGAATACTGGAGTGGGTTGCCATTCCCTTCTCCAGGGAATCATCCCGACCCAGGGATCAAACTCAGGTCTCCGGCATTACAGGCGGATTCTTTACCATCTGAGCCACCAGGCAAGCCCAGGTGTTAAGTTGTTCATCTCTTGTTGTTGTTCAGTCGCTCAGCCATGTCTGACTCTTTGCGACCCCACGGACTACAGCTTGCCAGGCTTCCCTGTCCTTCACCATCTCCTGGAGCTTTTGAAAACTCATGTCCATTGAGTCAGTGATGCCATCCAACCATCTCGTCCTCTGTCGTCCCCTTCTCCTCCTGCCTTTAATCTTTCCCAGCATCAGGGTCTTTTCCAATGAGTCGGTTCTTTGCATCAGGTAGCCAGAGTATTGGAGCTTCAGCTTCAGCATCGGTCCTTCCAATGAATATTCAGGATTGATTTCCTTTAGGATTGACTGGTTTGATCTCCTCGCAGTCCAAGGGACCCTCAAGAGTCTTCTCCAGCACCACAGTTCAAAAGCATCAATTCTTCAGCATTCAGCCTTCTTTACAGTCCAACTTTCACATCCGTACATGACTACTGGAAAAACCATCTTTAGGGGTAGTTATATCTGATGAACGACTTAACAGGTCCTTTATTACCTTACAGGTGTGTGGGTTAACTGGATAAAGTGGGCCATTCTGTGGGCCTTGCTTGGTCTTTTAGACCTTTGTAATCAGATAGCACCTGGGGCTGGAGCAGCCGACGTAGCTTCACTCACACATGTGGCATATTTGTGAGGGCTGGACTCCACCCGCATCCCCTCCTCTCCCTCCCACCCCCCTCCATTTTTCTGCTTTCCTCCCTCTCTCCCTTCCCTGGTCACTTCTCTCCATGGCTAGCTTGGACGTCTGTATGTGGTAACACTCTGGTAGGGGTGCCAGGCCTTCTTAAGGCTTAAGACTGGAAGACCACAGCCTCTCTTGGGCTTGGCATTGGTTAAAGCCACTCACAGGTGCTCGCTTCGGCAGCACATATACTAAAATTGGAACGATACAGAGAAGATTAGCATGGCCCCTGCGAAAGGATGATACGCAAATTCGTGAAGTGTTCCATATTAAAAAAAAAAAAAAGCCACTCACAGGGTAGCCCGATTCAGCGTGGGAGGGGACTGCCCAAGGGTGTGAATACTAGGGGACCTTTGGGGACTAGCTACCCAGTAGGTAATGGTCTAACTCTTGATCTTTTCTTTGCTACTTGTGTTATTTTGTTCCCAAGGGAATGCATTACTCATTGTGTTTCATTTACCAATTAGAGTAAACGTTCCTTGTTCGCCAACTTAAAATCTTCAGAGGTTACACTAGCAAGTTGTTGTTGTAAAAGAGGGAACGCTAGCATAGAGCAGGGGAAAATAGCATCCTTTCACATCAGAGACGTGGGTGTGATCCCTATGTTGGGAAAATTCCCTGGAGGAGGAAATGGCAACCCACTGCAGTATTGTTGCCTGAAGAATCCCTTGAACAGAATCTGGTGGACTGTGGTCCACAGGGTCGCAAAGAGTCGGAAACGACTAAAGCAACTTAGCACTAGTACTAGCTACTAAACTACTGCATTGTAGAACTGCTTTTTCAGAAAATTAATTTGCTCCTTCATGAATAGTAAATAGCTACTGGACATCAAACCAGTCAATCCTAAAAGAAATCAACCCTGAATATTCATTGGAAGGACTGATGCTGAAGCTCCAATATGTTGGCCACCTGATGTGAAGAGGTGACTCCTTGGAAAAGATCCTGGTGCTGGGAATGATTGAGGGCAGGAGGAGAAGGGGATGACAAATGATTAGATGGTTAGATAGTATCACCGACTCAATGGACATGAACTTGAGCAAACTCCAGGAGATAGCGAAGGACAGGGAAGCCTGGTATTCTGCAGTCCATGGAGTCGCAAAGAGTCGGACATGACTTAGTGACTGAATGACAGCAACTGGAGATTAGTTGTCTCCATGCATTATAAGTTGAAATGTTCTCTGTTTTAATTACTAGGGCTCAAATTGTGCTAGCATTGTGTTAGATGACAGCGTACTATGTGAGAGACCCTGAAATAATGCATTTCTTCAATATCCTCTCTTTCTCTGCAGTTCCTTTTGAGACAGACACCAAAGCAGAAATAGTCACATCTTCTGATCCCACTCAGAATGATAAAAGTGATGATTCAGAAACTGGATCATTGAGCTCATTTCCGGAGAAAGAACATTCCAGTGCCAAGGAATCATCATCAGAGAAAAATGCTAGTGGCACCTCTGTCCCTGACGCCCCCATCATTCTGAGCCCCCCTCAGACACACACACCAGACACCTACAACCTGGTCTGGAGGGCAGGGAAGGATGGCGGGCTGCCCATCAATGCCTATTTCGTGAAGTACCGAAAGGTAATGTCTTGTCATTTGCGATCTTTCTCTTCTCACGTCTTCGTATCCTGTGTATAACACATACTTATTATCTTTCACACTTGTGGAGAGGCAGCAAACAGAACAGGAGGATCCCAGGGCGAGGAGTTTGGGAGAGAGTCAGCAGTCATGCTGGATTTACCAGTCTTATAAAAGCAGTGAGAATGAAGTACAAATAACCGCACCCAGATTGGGATTTTAAGAACCGGGTAACTTGACAGTTGTTTTGTTGTCCATTCCTTGGGGTTTGAGGGATCTTAGTTCCCCAACCAGGGATAGAACCCTGGCCCTGACACTGAAAGCCCCAAGTCCTAACCACTGGACTGCCAGGGATTCCCTGCTTCTTGCCCTTTTTAATCAAATATTTTAACCCCTTGGGTGTAAAGCTTTATAAACCGCTTTTTAAGAAATAATTCCCTTTCTGCCCGTGGACGCCACCGAGAAAGCATCGTTGAAGACTTCCCCGCCTCCACTGCCGTCATGTCTAAATCAGAGTCTCCCAAAGAGCCCGAACAGCTGCGGAAGCTCTTCACCGGAGGATTGAGCTTTGAAACAACTGATGAGAGTCTGAGGAGCCATTTTGAGCAATGGGGAACTCTCTCAGACTGTGTGGTAATGAGGGATCCAAACACCAAGCGCTCCAGAGGCTTCGGGTTTGTCACATACGCCACGGTGGAGGAGGTGGATGCGGCCATGAATGCAAGGCCACACAAGGTGGACGGAAGAGTTGTGGAACCAAAGAGGGCCGTGTCAAGAGAAGATTCTCAAAGACCTGGTGCCCACTTAACTGTGAAAAAGATTTTTATTGGTGGCATTAAAGAAGACACTGAAGAACATCACCTGAGAGATTATTTTGAACAGTATGGAAAAACTGAAGTAACTGAAATCATGACTGACCGAGGCAGTGGCAAAAAGAGAGGGTTTGCTTTTGTAGCCTTTGATGACCACGACTCTGTAGACAAGACTGCCATTCAGAAACACCACACTGTGAATGGCCACAGCTGTGAAGTGAGAAAAGCCCTGTCTAAGCAAGAGATGGCTAGTGCCTCATCCAGCCAGAGAGGTCGAACTGGTTCTGGAAACTTTGGTGGCGGTCGTGGAGGTGGTTTTGGCGGGAATGACAACTTTGGTCATGGAGGAAACTTCAGTGGTCGAGGTGGCTTTGGTGGCAGCCGTGGTGGTGGCGGATATGGTGGCAGTGGGGATGGATATAATGGATTTGGTAATGACGGAAGCAATTTTGGAGGTGGCGGAAGCTACAATGATTTTGGCAATTACAACAATCAACCTTCAAATTTTGGACCCATGAAAGGAGGAAACTTCGGAGGCAGAGGTTCTGGCCCCTATGGTGGTGGAGGCCAATACTTTGCCAAACCACGAAACCAAGGTGGCTGTGGTGGTTCCGGCAGCAGCAGTAGCTATGGCAGTGGCAGAAGGTTTTAATCACTGCCAGGAAACAAAGCTTAGCAGGAGAGGAGAGCCGGAGAAGTGACAGGGAAGCCACAGGTTACAACAGATGTGTGAACTCAGCCAAGCACAGTGGTGGCAGGGCCTCGCTGCTACAAAGAAGACATGTTTTAGACATTGCTCATGTGTATGGGCAAAAAACTCAAGGACTGTACTTGTGACTAATTGTATAACAGGTTATTTTAGTTTCTGTTCTGTGGAAAGTGTAAAGCATTCCAACAAAGGGTTTTAATGTAGATTTTTTTTTTTTTTTTGCACCCATGCTGTTGATTGCTAAATGTAATAGTCTGATCATGACGCTGAATAAATGTCTTTTTTTTTTTTTTTTTAATGTGCTGTGTAAAGTTAGTCTACTCTGAAGCCATTTTGGTAAACTACCCCAACAGTGTGAAGTTAGAATTCCTTCAGGGTGATGCCAGGTTCCATTTGAAATTTATTTACAACCTGCTTGGTAGAGAAGCTGTTGTCTTCAGAACCTTGGTGTAGCTGAACTGACAGTTACTGTGTTGTGACCTGGAGTTCACCATTAAAAGGGTCACCCATGCAAAGTCATGGAGGTTTTTTTTTTGGTTATTAATGATTGTTGGCACATCCTATGCAATATATCTAAATTGAATTATGGTACCAGATAAAACTTATAGATGGGAATGAAGCTTGTGTATCATCCATTATCATGTGTAATCAATAAAAGATTTAATACCCTCTTGAAAAAAAAAAAAAAAGAAATAATTCCTTCCTTCTCTGAAGTGGCAGAAGACGGTTTGTTTAGCAAAGAAGCAATTTCTTATTAGAAACCACTGTTTGAACAAAGTTGTTCCATTATAATCTCTGACTAATATTTTCATTTCAAGTTGTCTTCCTAATTGTATTAATATCTTTCATTGTTTGGTTATTTATTATGGTAAATGTTGGTCCGTCTCAATTGATTTTTCAGATGGTATTTTTTATCCACAGGCTTATATTAAAACAAGATGAAAATCCTCCCTTCTTTGTTTAATGAGACTAGTAAATGAAATGGGAGTAGATGTACTCACATTTAAAATAATTTTCTATATTCAAGATGTTTTGGTATCCATCATTTAATAGGAATTTTTTTTTATCCTTTAGGTATTTTTTTAATTGAAGTATAGTTTATTCACAGTGTTAATTACTGCTGTATAGCATAGGTATTCAGTTATCCCTATATATACATTTTTTAAAAATATTTTTTCCTTTCCATTATGGTTTATTATAGGATATTGAATATCTAGTTCTCTGTACTATACAGTAAGACCTTGTTGTTTTTCCATCCTATGTATAAAAGCTTACGTCTGCTGGTCCAGCCTCCCACTCCATTTCTTCCCCTCCAGTAATATTTTTAATATCTGGAAAAATTAACATAATGATACTTGAAAGTTTATTCACTGTTTTTAACTTGGTGATTCTAGATGAAGGAAGTTTCACTGGTAACCCTGTCCACATGGAAACTTCCATGAATGTTGGCTCTTGGTTTTGTTAATGAAGGCATAACAGATTGGATCTCTTTTTCTTTCTTTCAACTCACTGAACAGTGTAAAGACATGAAGCAAGACTGTTAGAAATATGTAATGCATAATTGCATAATTTATACAGACATAAACATGAACTATGATTTATCAGGTATTGTGTATATTGATATTATTATTAATACGTATTATTGTTTACTTATTTAATTCTCCCATTAGCTCAGTAAGAAAGGAGCAATGTTTCCATTACCAGGAAACAACTGGGTAATCAAGTAACTTACTTGAGGCCATACGTTAGTGGCAGCTGATGAAGCAGTAGTCTTTTTCAAAAACAGTGAGAATCCCAAAGTTCTCACTGTAGGTCTCCTTCTGTTTCTTAATTGGAAGAGGCACTGTGTCTCTTTCACTTCTGACTGTGTATCACTTCCCCAAATTCATTTTGGAATTTAAGAACTTTTAGTTTTTACCCAATTGAAATGGAAAGATTTTCTGCCCTGTATCTCCATTTTTGAAAAATGCCTTGTTTTCGCTTGGGTAGCTGGAAGATGGTGTTGGTGTCGTGGGGAGCTGGCACACAGTTCGAGTCCCAGGAAGTGAGAATGAGCTCCATTTAACGGAACTGGAGCCATCGAGCCTCTACGAAGTTTTGATGGTGGCGAGGAGTGCAGCTGGGGAAGGACAGCCTGCCATGCTCACCTTCCGAACCAGCAAAGGTGAGTATAATCTTCCTTAAGAGGAGGGAATCGGCTGTATTGATGTCACTTTTTAATAATTAGTGTCATTTTATGGTAGCAAAGTCTCATATATAAATTTACTAAATAAACCTATTATAGTACCTCTTGGGGCCACATTTAGATGGTTTTATTCTTCTAGTCCATCTAGCATTTCACGGATATTTTTGAGAGTTTATGATAGGTAGGAGAAGGCAATGGCACCCCACTCCAGTACTCTTGCCTGGAAAATCCCATGGATGGAGGAGCCTGGTAGGCTACAGTCCATGGGGTTGCGGAGAGTCGGACACGACTGAGCGACTTCACTTTCACTTTTCACTTTCATGCACTGGAGAAGGAAATGGCAGCCCACTCCAGTATTCTTGCCTGGAGAATCCCAGGGACGGGAGCCTGGTGGGCTGCCGTCTATGGGGTCACACAGAATTGGACACGACTGCCGTGACTTAGCAGAAGCAGCAGCATGATAGGTAAGGCATTAGGTCAAGGGACACAGGGAAAACAAGGATAATCAAGACAAAATCCATCCTAATAGAGCTTCTACTTTGCTAAGAAAGGTAAGACATATATATAAATGCCAACTCAAGGCAAAATTTCAGTTCAGCTAGTATTTACTGAATGACTTCTCAGTGCCAGGCAGTAAACAAAATAGATAATACTCATTTGCTGTCATGGAGCTTCCATTCTAGTTGGGAGAAGTATACACATAAGTTATAAGAACATTAGTAGGTGGTGAGTTTTAACAAGAGAAATAAATTAAGGGATGGGTGTAGCATGGGCTTCTCAGGTGATGCTAGTGGTAAACAATCCACCTGCTAATGCAGGAGACTTAAGAGATATGGGTTTGATCCCTGGGTTGGGAAGATCCCCTGGAGGAGGAAATGGCAGCCCATTCCAGTATTCTTGCTTGGAGACTCCCATAGACAGAGGAGCCTGGTAGGCTACATTCCATAGGGTCACAAAGAGTCAGACACGACTCAAACGACTTAGCATGCATGCACATGGGGTAGTAGCAGTTGTCACAGTTTGAACAGGTGGCCAGAGAATTGAGCAGTTGACAGCAGGGCAGAACTTTAAGGAGGTGTGTGGAAAGCCATGTGAGTATCTGGGGCTAGAATGTCCCAGTAGAGAGGATAGCACATGGGTGTGCTTGGTGTTTCCAAGGATCACTGAGGGTTCCAAGGAGCACTCCCACAGTGATGGGAGTAAAGTAAGTGGGGAGGGGAGAACGCTCAGGGAGATGGATGATCATCAGCACATTGTCCCACCTGCAGGGACACCGACTTCGATCCTGAGTGAACTGGGAGCATTGGAGGGTTTTGAGCAGAGTTGTGACACTGTCTCTTGTGTGTTTCAATGCTGGCTATAGGGCCTTGCTGACTGTAGGGTAAGGATAGACTGGAGGAGGGCAGAGGAATAGGGAGGGACCAGATCTGACATGGTCTAGGCAAGAGAAGATGCCAGAGGATAGTCTTCTGTGGGGTAGTTTGTGAGGGTGGTGATGGTGGTTTAGTTGCTCAGTCATGTCCAACTCTTGAGACCCCATGGACTGTAAGCCTGCCAGCCTCCTCTGTCTATGGGATTCTCCAGGCAAGAATACTGGAGTGGGTTGCCATTTCCTTCTCCAGGGGATCTTCCCAATACAGGAATCAAACCCAGGTCCTCCTGTATTGCAGGCATATTCTTTACTGACTGAGCTACAAGGGAAGCCCACCTAGTTTGTCAAGGTAGCTTGATTGAGAAGATGCCATTTCCGGGCTTCACTGGTGGCTCAGTGTAAAGAATCTATCTGCCAATGCAAGAGACACAAGTTCAATCCCTGTTTGGGAAGATCCCACATGCTTTGGAGCAACGAAACCCATGCAACTGGTGAACCTGTGCTCCAGAGCCCTGGAGTCACAACTACTGAGGCCTGTGTGCCCTGGAGCCCGTGAGCAAGAGAAGCCAAGCCACCGCAATGAAATACACTGCGGCTAGAGAGTAGGCCCTACTCGCCACAACTAGGAAAAAGCCTGCACAGCAACAAAGACCCAGCACTGTCATAAATATATAAATAAAATAAAAAATTTAAAAAGATGCCATCGCAGGTTGGCCATAAATGAACAAAAAGACTTCCATGAGCAGAGACGGGAATTGGACAGAAGAGTTTTTGGTGTGGCACAGTGTTAGAAAGGAGTTCTGATGATTGAAAAGAAATTGTCTTTGGCTTTTGAAAAAGTTCCTTTTATTTAATTACTGTGTCTGGCCAGAAAAATGATGAGTATTTCTTATTTAAAATGTATTTTGAGTTATTACCCATAATTAGTCCTTAGTTGTTTATACAGTCTGACCTGCAAATACTGAATAATGAGCATGTATTTCAGTTCTAAAATAATCACTCAATTTCATTTTTTGCCCCTTGAAATTTTAAAACAGCATGACAGCTTTTGCATGAAGAAACTTAACAGAAGCTCTTAAGTAATGAATTTTCTGCATCAGAACTAAGAAATATGTACAGTAAAAATAAAAGTGGGTGAATAATTTGAAAACCTTTATTATAGTCATTTGGCTTTTTCATTTGTGTCATTTTTTATGTGTGTAAATTAAAGCTACCCTGGTGAAGAGAGACACATTTTTGTTATAAGTACTAGAAAAAGCAAAGTAACTTTTCAAGTTAATTCCTCGTATTAGCTAAGTAATTACAATGTAGGTTTTAAATTTAGACATGTAACAGATAAGTTCATATATTTATATACCAGTTGAGTTTAATGAGTCCCTTGGACTGCAAGGAGATCCAACCAGTCCATCCCAAAGGAGATCAGTCCTGAGTGTTCACTGGAAGGACTGATGCTGAAGCTGAAACTCCAGTACTTTGGCCACCGCGTGTGAAGAGTTGACTCATTGGAAAAGACCCTGATGCTGGGAGGGATTGGGGGCAGGAGGAGAAGGGGACGACAGAGGATGAGATGGCTGGATGGCATCACCGACTCGATGGGCATGAGTTTGAGTAAACTCCAGGAGTTGGTGATGGACAGGGAGGCCTGGCATGCTGCAATTCATGGGGTCGCAGAGAGTCGGACACGACTGAGCGATTGAACTGGACTGAGCTGAGTTTCCTAGTATCTTTTCTTATTTATGCATAGAAGCTTATTCGTATTACATCATGTTATATTTTACCTTTCTAGAGAAAACAGCATCGTCCAAAAATACCCAGGCCTCCTCTCCACCTGTGGGCATCCCTAAGAGCCCTGTTGTTTCAGAGGCTGCAGACAACTTCGGAGTGGTGCTCACAGATTCCTCTAGGCATAGTGGAGGTAAGGAGAAGATTCTTCATTTATTATTCTGTTTGTTTCCAAGTGTAACTGACCTGTTTCAGGTTATTAGGGGGTGGAGTGGGAGGGGTGGAGTGGGACAGGATATTTATTATTCAAATTATATCCTACCATATAGCTCTTTCAGGTTTTATTTCAACCATTTTAAAATGTCTTGAATTTGAAATCTTGAGTACCCAGTACCATGGTTGATATTCAAAGCAATAAACTCAGACTTCAAATGTTATGATACTAAGTTTTTAGAACTCACAAAAAGGATTTTTCTGTCTCCTGTCTGGCATGGAAACCAAATTTACATTGGAACCCTGAACATCTGACTTGTTTTTTTTAATGATTTGTCAAAATATATCATGGTACCTATAGCATGACTTAGTTTCTTAGTGAATGATTGCATGTCATTCTCAGCTTTATTGTTATATCATGTTGATCTTACAGTGTTTAGATGTCATAGCAATAAGATTTTTAAGACTTCTTTTTAGTATTTAATCATACATGAATTCTCCCGTTACAACATAATGTGCTTTTTGTGATCTAGGGAAGGCTTAGCATTTTATTACTGAGCACTAAGAATTTTCAAGCTTCTCTCCCCTATTTTTATAGTCTTCCATGCGTTGGTCTCAGACAGAAGCAAGTCATAACATTTGAACGCCTCTGTGGAGTGCCTCTGCGTCTTCAATATCATGAGCTGCTTTTTCTTGAGTCCTTTCACCTTTGAGATCAGAAGAACAAAAACCTCATGAATTAATACACTGTAGTAAGTGCTGGAACAGCAGAGATCAAATAATTCTTGCCCTTGGAGAGGCTTACAGTATAGGAGATGATGCAGACAGCTAAACCAATACCAATATAGCAGGGAAGATAGATTAACCAGCAATGATGGTTTTGATTCTACCTTGGAATCAAACATTTCACAAGAGATTTATGTAAATCACTTACTTGATAGGAAGGAGGCCCAGTGGCTGGCGGTAAGAGATGTTCCCTAAGCTAAGCTTCAAAGGCAAGAATGTTATAGCTGAATGAAGAAGCAGGAGAAACAGTTCTAGGCAGAGACCTCTCATGCAGAGATAGAGGAAGGACATGTTCTATTTCGTTTAGAGATTCAGAGATTTTATTTAGTGCTATGGGGAATCATGCTACAGTGGGGGAGGAAAGCAGTTGCCTCGTATGATGTCCTTAAAGATTCAGTCTTTCCCTAAAAGCTATGAAGAAGCCCAAGGATTTTAGAGATGGGACGGGGGAGTGGCATCAGATGAGGCTTAGAAATCCAGGCAGTGACAATGTGGATGGAGAAGGACACAGACAAGAGATGAAGGGAACTGAATCCTCATTGAATGAAAGGGAGAAATACGGTGACTTGGGCAACTTGAACTATTTACCAGGATAGGTGATAAGAATTTGTTGCTGAAGGTTATGGATTCTGTTCTGGCAATCATGAGTTTGTTGTTATCCAAGCAGAGATAACCATAAAGAAATGATTTATTTAATCTTCACAATAACCCTGTGAGGAAGGGAGAATCAGCATATTACAAATCAGGAAACTGGGACTCAAGGGGGTTATGGAACTTGCCTAAGGTCACCCAGAGAGTGGTGGAACTGCTATCCACAGTCAGACAGTTAGACTCCAAGAGCAGTATTCTTTATCTCCTTTCACATGGTGTTTCTTTTGAGTATTGATGGTATTCTTCTCTTTAGGGACTTTCCCCTAATAACGTTCTTTTTCTACTTGGTCTGTGGTATTCTTTATGAGTTTTAACCTCATGTGAATCAACAGAGGAAGTTGTTTTGTTATCTTCGTGTTAAAAGAGAGATTCACTAACTCCTATTCATTCTGTTTCCATTGCTTTCTAACTTGAAAGGAATACAGTAAGTATCATGCCAAGTTGCCTGCTTTGAATGTATTCATCTTTTCATCCATTAAACAATTTGTTTTTAAAATGCCACAGATTTCTTCATACAGGCACCATATGCAACATTACTTTGTTATGTGTTTGCATTCAGATTGAAGAGATGTTGAGACAGAGAGGTGTTGGTGGAGACCAGACCCAGGCTAGACAGAGATGGGGCTTCCTGAGTAATTCATTGAAGTCATGTAACTGTGGGGGCTTCCCTGGTGGCTCAGCAAAAAAGAATCCACCTGCTGATGCAGGAGATATGGGTTCGATCCCTGGGTCGGGAAGATCCCCTGAAGAAGGAAATGGCAACCCACTCCAGTGTCCTTGCCTGGGAAATCCCACAAACAGAGGGGCCTGGCAGGGTTTGCAGAAAGTCAGACATGAGTTAGCGACTAAAACGACAACAATTAACCGTGGTCCAGAGCTGGTCCTCCTTGTTCTAGCTCTAGAAACATGATAGTTCGCGTGTGGAAGGGTAGTCGGTCTTCTTGATAACCAAAATTCCCAGGTGATTAATGTAACATGGGATGGTGGTTTACTACTTTCTCACTGTCACACAGACCAGGTTGTTTCTGTCCACATCCTTGCTTTCTAGGGGCCAAGTGGGAAGCCAGTTATAACCACAAGATTGCTTGGCCAGCAGTTAGGGACACGTGTTGGGTACACAGTTTAAATGATGAGCTCACTCCTGAGGTTTCCACTTGCCATGGAATCAAGACCGTCTCATCTGTGGGCTGGAACATCCCTCCCCTTGGCCATGCTAACCACAAAGCTGCCAGGTGTTGGCTCTCTGACCGTCCTTTCCTATAGGTTCATGTGGATGATCACGTGGACCATGTTTCCTGATAACACTTGTCTTTATTTAACTGTGAATCTGGCTTCCTTTTTATCAGTATTGATTTTATTGGTTCAGTTTATCTCTGTTTACTATTTGCAGTCTGTTTTCTGGACTAGCATTCCTGTAGCTTTGAAGTGCATTAATATACGTACAATAGTAATAGCTACATTGCTGATTATTGACAGGCTATGATCTTAAGAGCTAATAAATAGACAAATCTATAGACTGTTAGCTGAATATGTTTTCTATAGCTTGCTTGGATAAAGAAAACCATTTAAATAACACATCATTTCGAAAATTTACTGTAAAAAAAAAAGAAAATTTACTGTAAATTATTACCACAGTCAGACTTGAAGCACCAAATAATAATTACTTATATTGTCTTAGCATGCCTCAGTGGTCATACTCATTAACTTTCAGATTTTCAGAGATACTTATCAAGTTTATAAATTATCTCACTTTTCCTGCTACTTCTTCTATTTCATTGCACATTAACTTTTCAGAGGACAGAAAGATAGTCATAATGTTATTAACTCTGGCAAGTATTTCAACTCTGGTGAAGAGCCTTTAATAAAGTGATATTTGGGATTTACCCCTTTCAGTTCATTTGAGTAATTCTTGTCTTTGATGCTGAGGGTTATCAAAATGAATGTTTCCATTTTCAGTCCCAGAGGCACCTGACCGGCCTACTATCTCCACTGCATCAGAGACGTCTGTCTATGTCACATGGATTCCTCGGGCCAACGGGGGCTCTCCAATCACTGCCTTCAAGGTCGAATATAAACGGATGAGGACTAGTGATTGGCTGGTGGCAGCTGAAGACATCCCTCCTTCTAAGCTTTCTGTGGAAGTTCGTAGCTTAGAGCCAGGTAGTTCTATTCAAACATTTTGTTTTAGAACATCAGTGCTGACTTTAGATGCATATTTGTCTTTTTTTTTTTTTTCCCCACCATGCCTGCTGCATGTAGGATATTAGTTTCCTGACCAGGGATCCAATCTGTGTCCCCTGCATTGGGAAGTCTTAACCACTGGACCACCAGGGAAATCCCTAATTGCATATTTTAATAATCTTATATTCCTCCAATTGTTAAAGAAATGTGAGCTTATTGTATAAAAATTTGAAAGCAAAGTATAAAAAGAGAATACTTACCCCAAACCCATCCATCTAGAGATGACCATTGTTTATATTATGTTGTATTTCTTTCTAGTCTTTTTTCCTTTCTAATACAAATTGGGATCATGCCATAAATATTGTCTTGTGACCCCCTTTTCCCGTGTTATATCATAATTAACAATTCTTCAGAACTCAGTTTTTAATAACTGGGTATCTATCATGTAAGTATATCATGATTGACTTAACCTAGTCTTTCTTTCTGGGCTTTAGATTATTTCTAACTGCAAATGAATGGAAGTAGGGTTGTGGTGACATATTTGTGTGTGTGTATGTGTATGTATTTTGCTATGAATGAATGTTTTAAGAGGAAAATTGCTTGTTATTTGACTACAATTGATCTGATGATGCATCTTAGCATGGTTTAACCCACTACTTTGTTTTATGGATATGAGACAACATTCAACACCTCTTTGTTCTGTTAAGTTTTGTTTCAGCATCAGGGGAGCTTCTCCAGACCCACTCTGTCTTAGTTGCTCAGTCATGTCCAACTCTTTGTGACCCCATGGACTGTAGCCCACCAGGCTGCTTTGTCCATGGGGATTCTCCAGGCTAGAATACTGGAGTGGGTTGCCATGCCCTCCTCCAGGGGATCTTCCCAACTCAGGGATCAAACCCAGGTCTCCTGCATTGCAGGCAGATTCTTTACCATCTGAGCCACCAGGGAAGCTCATGCAGACCCCCTAATATGTGAAACAAACCATAAAGAGAAAAGCACTAATCACAAATCAACTTTCCTTACTTCTGTTTGTTTGGGTTTCATGACTGTTTTTGTTGATGGACTTTTATATGTACTTTAGCAGCAAAAACCCGTGTTTGTCTGACAGGTAACAGGAGGAGCTCAGGAATAGGTAGGTATAGTTGGGAGAAGGTGGCTGTTTTAAATATAAGCAAAGCTAAGTAATATTTTATAGATAGAAAGGACTGTTTTCAGAAGATCAGGGGTTATTTTTGAGCTTTTGTGAAACTTGCTTTAGGGGTCTAATTTATTCTTTAGATTCAGATTTTCAGAAACTCACAGTGCTTAGAGTTTTTTTTTAAGTTCTTAATATCTAAGCCAAACAAATACCTTCTGTTGTAGCCTAAATCTGCTCTTTCTTATCCTCTTATTAGAGGGAGCAGAGTGACATCTGTGATCAGCCACAAAGTGCCTCTTCATAGCTGTATTCCCTGTGTTAAACTTCGCTTCAGTTGTTTCTTTCAAAGTGAAAAAAACCTATTGGGTTGGCCGTAAAGTTCGTTTGGATTTTTCCTATGTTCTTACGGAAAAACCCAAACAAGTATTCTTGCCAACCCAATAGTTTTAGCAACCCATTCCAGTATTCTTGCCTGGGAAATCCCATGGACAGAGGAGCCTGGCGGGCTACAGTCCTGGGGCTGCAAAGACTGGGACACGACGTAGTGACTAACCACCACCACCATCACCACCAGCTAGTCCTGTATTTGATGGGTATGACTTTAGAACAGGATGTTGAAAAAGAAATGTGCTCTTTCCTCTTCTCTCCTTGCTTCCTTCCATGAGGAACAGCATCTGTCTCTCCCAGGGACCCCCAGTAAGGTATTGGAATTTTGAACACACGCAGTGATTGCATGCAGTACCAGTGGAGTTGGCAAGTGGGTTGAAATCTGTTCACCATCTAGGCTTTAGAGCATGTCGTTGTTATTGCCGAGAGATGCTTAAGTACGATTGTTGTATTTTTAATATTGTCCCTTAAATTCTGTTTATTTTCCCATCCCTCAAAAGGTTCAACATACAAATTTAGGGTCATTGCTATCAACCATTATGGTGAGAGTTTTCGGAGTTCAGCTTCTCGTCCGTACCAGGTGGCTGGGTTCCCCAATCGCTTTTCTAACCGTCCAATAACTGGACCTCACATTGCATACACAGAAGCTGTCAGTGATACTCAGATCATGCTAAAGTGGACGGTAAGTAAAACATCTTCTCTAATGACAAAAGTTTCTGATGTGGCCATGTTAATTTAATATCGGGACATGATACTATGAATGGGAAATTTTTGAACTTTTAAGTAAGAGGAAATTGAGGGGCACAAATTTGTGTATAAGAGGGGCAGGTTTGGTGTTTTTTTTTTTTTTTTTACTTTTTATTTTATAATGGAGTATTAAATGATTGGGGCTTCCCAGGTGGCGCTCCAGTGGTAAAGAACCCACCTGCCAAAGCAGGAGACATAAGAGATGCAAGTTCAATCCCTGGGTTGGGAAGATCCCCTGGAGGAGGGCATGGCAACCCACTCCAGTATTCTTGCCTGGAGAATCCCATGGCCAGAGGAGCCTGGTGGGTTACAGCCCATGGGGTTGAACAGAGTCAAACACAAGTGAACTGAGGTGACTTAGCACACACACACTCCTAGCTGATCAACAGTGTGATGGTTTCAGATGCACAGCAGAGGGAATCAGCTGTACATACACATATATCCCTTCTTCCCCCAAATTCCCGTCCCATCCAGGCTCAGGGGGCAGGGCTTTAATAAAATGATTGTCTCTTCAGCTCTCATCCAAGTATTAACAAAATCACCATTTCGTGTTTTATTGCTTTTGAGCCCAATGTACTTTTTTGTCTTTGAGCCAAGTGAGACATATTGCTTTATTTTTGTTTAGCCCTGCAGCAAGCTAAAATGCTCTCAATACCTTTGAATACCTTTGAATTAAATTTTAAATGGCTATCAAGGATGTCTATAAAATGAAGCTCAAAAAACACTGCCACACAGATAAATAAATCTTAGTGGATGTAAAAGTCACATTATTTTTGTCTTTGACAAGTCTTTGCTCCTCTTTTCTAGTACATTCCGTCGAGTAACAATAACACTCCCATCCAAGGGTTTTATATCTATTACCGGCCAACGGATAGCGACAATGACAGCGATTACAAGAGGGATGTTGTGGAAGGTACGTGCCGTGGACAAGCTCGAGTCTCAATAAGGGAGTTTTGGAGGGAGAGGGTTCGTGAATATTATGGAAAACATCCCAGGGTAAAATAGAATAAAAAATGAAATGACATATATACTATTACTTTGAATTTTTTCCAAAGAAAGTTAATTTGTCCAATTTAATACAGTGGACCCTGAAAGAGTGACGGGTTGGTGGCTCAGTCTGTAAAGAATGAGCTGCAGGAGACTCATGTTTGATCCTTGGGTCAGGAGGATCCCCTGGAAGAAGGCATGGCAGCCCAACTCCAGTATTCTTGCCTGGAAAATCCTATGGACAGAGAAGACTGGCAGGCTACAGTCCATAGGATCACAAAGAGTCAGGCACGACTGATGAGATTTTGCACGTATGAATCCTAGTTCGGTTTTGCATATGTGTGTGTATATGAAATTATTTGCTTCTCCCACTAAATGTTAATCTCCTCATGGCAGAGGGCCTTCTTTCTCACGGCTGCATCCCAAGCCCTACACTGTTGAGTTGTTTGGTATTTACTGAGTGAATGAATGGGTGAATGCTCAGAGTCCAGAAGAGAATAGTGGCGTGTCTAGGGTGATCAGATTGGAAAAAAAGACATCTATTGTAGCCAGCAGCAGAACAGCTGTCTTCAAGTTGTGTTTTTTTTTTTTAATTTATCACTTTGGCTCCTCTGGGTCTTCGTTGCTGTGTCTGGGCTTTCTCCAGTTGCCGGGAGCTGGGCCTACTCTCTAGTCGCGCGGTGCGGGCTTCTCCCCTCGCCGAGCACGGGTTCCAGGTGCTTGTGAGCTTAGTAGCTGTGGTACCTGTGCTTAGTTGCTTCACAGCATGTGGCATCTTCTCAGGTGAGGGATCAATCCCGTGTCTACTGCATCGGCAGGCAGACTCCTAACCATTATACCGCCGGGAAAGTCCTGTCTTCAAGTATTTAAGGACTAGGATGTGGAAGGAGGTACTCAGTCTGTTGGGGGAGGGCAGCTAGAAGGAAATCGTGTGAGACCCTTTCATGCCATATTTCTAACATGGGTTCCCGCACAAAATAATAAACTCCCGAATTTGGGAGGTGTTCAGTAGAAGCTAGATACCTGTTTCTCAGTGGTATCTTGGAACAGAGTCTTGCTTTGGGAGGAAGTCTTCTTCCGAGGTCTTTTTTCACTCTAAGATTCTTTTTTTTTGAAGTATTAATCTCCTAATGAACCGTCTCAAAAAATTTTCCCAAGCCAAGGTGACTTTCCTCTGACTTTTCAACGTCAAATAGTTTTTTGTTATAAGTAATCTTATAATAAATTACTTTTAATAGGTGTCATCATGTTTTCTTTAAATATTGTGGTTTTCTTTTTGTTGTTTATCCAATGGAATTACTTTTGTGATGTGATGAAAAATCTGTTAACTAAATTTTAGTACCTGGTACAGAGTAGGTGCTCCCTAAATATTTTTTGAATGAAAGAGTGATTGTTTCTCTTTTCTTAATCTGGAAAAATGGGAAAGAAATCAGTTCCCCAAACCCCAAACCCGCCTTCTTCATAAAGGTTTGGGGAAGTGTGGAAAAATCATTGTTAGTGGCGAAAAAGATTCAGTGAAGTCAGGAGGGTAGCTTCCTGGAGGGAGCAGTGGCTGGAGGGAACGTGAGGGGGGCCAGGAACACTTGCTTCACCTGGGTGCTGGTCCCACGGCTATGCTGTGTGTGTGTGACCATTCATCTCTACAGTGATGGATACGTTTTCATATGCATGTTCATGAAAGGAAACAGGATTGTTAGTGACCGATCTACACTGTAGTCCTGGCTCAGTCTTCATTTTAGTTGTGTCTGGGTCAGGCAGGTGGAGCTGTCCGGTTTTTAGTTTTAAAATCTTTTGAGAGAGGTTACACTTTCGTTAGAAGGTCATTCTAAACAAGGCAAATATAAATGAAACAAACATGCCTCTCTGTCTCTGTCAATATCACTCTCTCCCCTCCCCTTCCCGGTTCAACTCTAGAAATGCGCAGAGAAACATTTTCTGTATTCTCTAGCTAAATCTTTGAACATTTACAGACTTGAGTGTTGCGCCTGTGGAGTGTGGAGCTGGGAAATTCCTCTAAAGGAGCTTTTGTTTCTATTACCAGCATCTGTACATGCGAGCTTTGCCTGTGGTTCACAGAGAACTTGTTTATGAACGTAATAGAGCAGTTAGCTGTTTAAGTGGGCTTCACTGTGCTGTGTAATTTGCTTATTCCTTATTTTCAGGTTTATGCACTTGAAATTCTTTTTGTGGCAGTTGGAAACTATTGGCTTGCTCTCCAGAGCCGAGAAACAGAAGTATTTATCCTTTATATATAAAGTTTTCTTTAAAGTTTTAGATTACTTATGTATATCAACTCGAAATGGTTTAAGCTTTGACATGCAATTACATTGTTAAAGAATACAGTAAGAGAAGAGCAATTATACTGGTACCCTTCCTTTTGAATTAAGTTCCACGTTTAGATAAGCTGTAAACGTTTTGAACATACCAGTGTTTTTGTGATGATTATTTTAATCTTGTAAATTAAATTAAGTTTCAAGTAAATCAGAGTATGTCATACTGATCTTTAAGCCCGTGCTTTCATTTTTTACCTTTTCTAAAACATTCTTGGTGAAAAAAACTGCCTGCTGAGCAAACAGCCTGCTGGTTGGTTCATTATAAACCTAATAATACACTTAGGTGTCTTATTTGTCAATGACCTGTAAAAACTTTCTGGTGATATTTCCTATAATCGGAATAATTCCAATAACAATGGGATATTATTCTAATAAGATATGTATTAGTTCATTTTATCTTACTAGTGACTTATCAGAAGCTTACTTTAATGCCATTTTTATTAGTGCTATGAAAGGAAAACTTCAAATCTAGTGTAATAATTATTCAAGTGAATGTTGATAAATGAGTGGGGGGCTGGGCCAGGAAAGACCTAAAGATAAAGAAAAAAGTAGAAGTCTTTTAGCACAGTTTTTGGAATTTAAAAATAGATCTGTTCCTATCTCAAGTAGATTTTGAGTCAAGTTTCTTTTAGGATCCTCTTTACACTTATAAATGAGGCCTAGAATTCCCCACTTGTGAGTTTTTCATAGTCCTTCAATCCTAAAATAAGCAGATTCTCTTCCTTATAAAATATGGGACTTGTAAAATATGAATGAGGGGCTTTGTGTTGGTGGCCTGGAAAGGGGTATGCTTCTGGGTTGAGATGTTTTTGTCTGTGTTGAATCAGGAAGAATCCCGGAGCCATTGGTTCTGTCAGCCAAGTCGATTTGACTTGTGTGCATAGTTTTGTTTCATTTATTTTTTTTCTTCTCTCCCTTTAATTGACTCTTAAATCAGTTGGTGGTATAGTTGAGTTTCTAAGAAACAGTGAAAACAGTTTGAAGAGGTATTTTCTAAGAAGAATTAAAGGTGCTTGAAGAGTTCATTGAGTCTGGCAGACGTGTCCCTGTTTATTAAAGTTTGTCACAGGTCCACGGAAGTAAAAACAGAGAGTGATTTATAATGAAGTTGCTCAGTTTAGAAGTGTTTCTAAATGAAATGCTGGCTGTGTGCCACGGATCACAGCCTCATTCTTTACTTGTGTGGTTTGGAGACCCAGATTCAAAAGGAAAGAAATGATGGGAGCAGTAGCCAAGAGCTTCCCATAGTAGACTTTGCTTTTTGAGCATTCATTTATATGTTGGAGGACTTCCCTGATGGTTCAGGGGTAAAGAATCTGCCTGCAATGCAGGAGACACAGAGACACGGGTTCCATGCCTGGATCAGAAAGATCCCCTGAAGAAAGAAATGACAACCCATTCCAGTATTCTTGCTAGGAGAATTCCATGGACCCAGGAGCATGGCAGGCTACAGTCCATGGGGTCGCAAAAAGTCAGACACGACTGAGTACACACACACACACACAGGCACACACTGTGTCTCATTAGAGTGTAACTGAGAGTTTTGCTGAGGTCTGTCTTGTAATGGTCACTTGTTCTGGGAAAGACATTGTTTTCTGACATCCTACATGGCATTGCTTTCTGGTGGATGAACAGAGTGGGTTGACTTGCTCGCTGAAGTATGGGATCAAAGGACTTGAGGGTTTTCTTTTAACTTATGCATAAAATGAATATGTATTTCATGGAAGACTTACTACTGATTACTTGTAATGAAACAAAGTCTGAATCCCCACAGACAGGTTTAGCTTTAATTCAATTTCTCTCTTCTCTTTACCATTTCTTTTCATACCATGCAATAGAAATGCTATTCATCTGTTGTGTATTGCTAAAAGTATAAGGACATTTTTATTGCTCAAACTGACTGTATGGTGATGGCTCCTGCTCCAACTTCATTTTGAAATTACTGAATAATTTTATTGACTGTTGTTTAGGTTGTGGGGTATTTAAAGCTTATCTTCTATTTTTCCTTTCTAGGTTCAAAGCAGTGGCACATGATCGGCCACCTGCAGCCAGAAACCTCCTATGATATTAAAATGCAATGCTTCAATGAAGGAGGAGAGAGCGAGTTCAGTAACGTGATGATCTGTGAAACAAAAGGTAGGGGAGGGGTGAGAATTAGTGGTTTTTCCCTGGACAGAGCTAGGATTCTGAACTCTGGATTCCTTCTGACTGTCGACGTGTTTCCAAAGATACTTTGGACTGTTTTCTAGGTACATCCACTTAGACTGTCTCAACAGTCTAGCCTTATGTCAGCTAGAGCAGCGGTCCCCAACTTTATTGGCACCAGGCGCTGGTTTTATGGAAGACAGTTTCCCACGGACCAGGGAGGTGGGCAGGTGGTTTGGAATGATTCAAGTGCATTACATCTATTGTGCACTTTATTTCTATTATTATTACATCAACTCCACCTCAGATCATCAGGCATTAGATCCTGGAGGTTGAGGACCCCTGGGCTAGAAAACTTGCCTTAAAAGTAGTTTAGATAAGTATTCATTGTGAGTTTCTGCATGCCTCTGGGTAGGTCACTTCCCTTTTTTTTTTGGTCCTCCATGAAGGAATAGAAATATTTGCTGACTAATTTCTGAGATTGCTGAGAGAATTAGAATGCTTCCCCAAAAAAGTTAAAGAGAAGTCGCTACCTATGTTTAAAGTGGTTTTTGAATGGCAAATATGTATACTACCTACTTGTTCAGTTAAGTGTAGTAGTTAAGTTCAGAATTAGTCGATAATTCTAAAGGAAGATTTCAACTGCCTGCAGACATAAATTAGCTGTAAAATACTACAGTTGTTGAAAACAGATAACACACTTGAGTAACAGAAGCACCCAAAGTGGAAACTGAGGCTCAGAAAGGTTGAATTCATATGCCAAGACTCAGCTTCATCGTTTAATTCTGAATCATGTGTCTTTCTGCTTCAAAACCCACATGTTAAATTCACATTTAAACGTTTATACACACAGACCTGTAGACTAACCTTGAATTTCATTTGTTTAGCATATATTTGAGTACCTTTTTGTACTGGACACTGTAAGTATTAATGAACATTTCTTACTTGCCTCCAGATGCTGTGAAACTCAGAGCAGAATTACATAAAAATGAAATTTCTTGTCTCTGCTCCCAAGACATTTAAGAATCTAGCCAGGCAGAACATAAAACACAGACAACAATGTAGTAACTGTATTGTTTTTAATAGTCTTATAGTATACATTGTTAATTGACTTTGCTGGGGAATCAAAGGTTCCAGCCATAGGTTTTCAGATCAGAGAAAAAACAAAACCTGTCTTTAAAATGTTAATTGGAACTTCCCTGGTGGTCCAGAGTTTAAGACTGCCTTACAGTGCAGGGGGTACAGGTTTGATCCCTGGTCAGGGAGCTAACATCTCACATGCCTCGTGGCCAAAAAAACTGAAGCAATATAAAACAGAAGCAATATTGTAATAAATTCAATAAGGACTTTAAAAAATGGTTCACATAAAAAAACCCGAAAAATCTAAAAAAATAAAATTTTAACTGTTCACGCTGAATGACTTTCTAAAATGTATTACACAATCCCCAGCCTGTTTAAGTAGAACGTTGGATGCATGAGTTCACCTTTTTAAAGAAATGACTCAAGGTTCTTATTGTGAACAGCGATTATCTTATCTTAGTAACTCAGTACAGTTTTCTCGGGAATGACACAGTGTTGGAGGCCAGCCACTTCCCCCCACTGTTAAAGATTGTGGACCATCGTGATTTTTGTTTAGTTCTCTGCTTTCTCTTTTTGTTTTGGCGCTTACCTTGCTCATGTCATGCTCCTGGCTCTCTCTTCTTATTCACATCCATGGGACCGTCTCACCCACTGCAAAAGTTTTTAAGTTCAGCGAGAGGTTGGCCACTGTTCATCAAGCTTGGTGGAATTATGAATAAATTTAGGGTAAATGAAGAGTGAATAAACGTGAAGGATTCCCTATGAGTAATTGTGGTCTTTCATGTACAATCTGTAACATCCATTTTGCCTCAGAAACTTGTTTGTTGTCTTAGGAATTGGCAGGGACCTTAGAATTGTATAATCCAACACACCACCCAAAGTAGAAATTTCCTTTAGAGTCTTTGCCAGGTATTCTTCTAGCTTTCAATGATGCAGAGCTCTTTCCTTTGAAAGGCAACCTCTCCTTGAGTGATTTCCAGCCCTGTTCTGTAGAACTGAAGTTGCTAGAAAATGGAACCCCAATATAATCTTAGTTGAAGTAGGTTTTTCTTTTTAAAAGATCACTCTGCTCCTGTAAGTAGTTAGGAACCATAACAAGAAATGTAGAATAATAACTAATGACAGTAACAAAATTGATTGAACACTACCACATGCCAGGCTGTAAGTGGAGAGCTTTTTTACATGGATTAACTCATTTATTCTTTTATGATTTTATTTACGTATTCTAATTTTTTAAGAACTTTTGGCTGCTCTGGGTCTTCCTTGTGGCGGGGAGTCTCTGTCTAGTTGTGGTGCGAGAGGGCATCTCTTGTTGTGGCACACGCACTTCCCAGTGTGGTGCAGGGGCGTCTCTTTCTTGTTGTGGTGCACAGGTTCTGGAGCGCACGGGCTCAGTAGTTGTGGCGTGGGCGCTCTAGTTGTGCCAAAGACCCTACAGTATGTGGACTTCTCTAGTTGCATCTCGAGGGCTCTCTCTAGTTGTGGCCTGCAGGCTTAGTTGCCCCACGGCACATGGGATCTTAGTTCTCAGTTGTTTAGTTGCTGAGTTGTGTCCAACTCTTTGTGACCCCATGGACGGCAGCATGCCAGGCTTCCCAGGCCTCCGCTATCTCCCGGTGTTTGCTCAGATTCATATCCATTGAGTTGGTGATGCCATCCAACCATTTCATCCTCTGTCACCCCCTTCTCCACCTGCCCTCAATCTTTCCCATCATCAGGGTCTTTTCCAATGAGTCGGCTCTTTGCATCAGGTGGCTGAAGTATCAGAGCTTCAGCATCAGTCCTTCCAGTGAATATTCAGGGTTGATATCCTTTAGGATTGACTGGTTTGATCTCCTTGTTGTCCAGGAGACTCTCAAGAGTTCTCCAGCACTGCAATTTCAAAGCATCAGTTCTTTGGCGCTTAGCTTTTTTTATGGTCCAGCTCTCACCAGAGATCAAACCCACACTGTCTAATTGGAAATTAGATTCTTAACCAATGGGCCACCAGGGAAGTCCCCTCATTTACTCTTCATTACAACCTTATGATGGAGCTGTTATTATTATGTCTTATTTTCCACATGCAGAAACTGGTTCATGGAAGTTCAAGTCATATGGCTAAAGGGTACATGGTGGAATAGGATAGAAACCTGGACAGTCTGGTTCTAGAGACCAGGCCATCAACCACTATGCTGTCTGCTGCTTCTCTATAACATGTAGAGCATTAAGAGCATATTATCTGGGGACAGAGAAAGTGGGGTTTATGTGCCACCTGTTATTAGCTTTTGCTCTTGCCATTATCCAGAATACCAGTGAATTAGGTAAAAGTACTGTGTTTACACATGACCTCAAGAGTTCTTGGTTTTAGAATGTTTAGTATTATGTGTGAAGTTTTTGGAGTTGTATATAATTGTTCTAGTAGTCCAAAGTCTTGTCTTTTAATATGATTTACAGGCAAAAGGCATAAATATGTAATCATGAGTCTCATTCAGCTCAAAGTGTGTCAGACAGAAAGGAGTTTTTGTCCCATCTGTAGGTTACCATATTTTTATTTCAACTCTTTGGGAGTCTTCTGCCAGTACAATTGAGCAGATCATCATATAGCAGTTTGGGTTAGACCAAGTGCATCTGTGTCTCTGACCTGATGATTTCTCTAGAATTTGTGGCCTAAAACCTTAGCACATTAGACTTTTAAACTCTGGAGCCCTCTTTGTGACTCATTGGTAGTCAGATCATCTCAGTCACAAGTGTAAACAGACTGGCTCGCATTCCTAACCAGACCTCCTCTGGAGAGTAAACCGTTTCATAGAGACTGTCTTCACCCTGACATCATATTTTCCTTTCTGTTTTTCAACTAGTGAAACGGGTCCCTGGAGCTTCTGAGTATCCCATCAAAGACTTGAGCACCCCTCCAAATTCCTCGGGGAGTGGCGGGAACGTGGGCCCTGCCGCCAGCCCCACCAGAAGCAGCGACATGCTGTACCTGATCGTTGGCTGTGTGCTGGGGGTGATGGTGCTCATTCTCATGGCTTTCATTGCCATGTGCCTGTGGAAGAACCGCCAGCAGAACACCATACAGAGTAAGTCATTCATCAGCGTCTCCTGCTCTTTTTTCTAAAGATGGGTAGAAAAATATTGTCAGAATAAATAACTTTTTCTAACAAGTTTGTGCATGAGTGTCGTGGGATAGAACATATCAGATGCTCTTCATTCAGTGGAGATGACTTTAAGATGGTGCTAGCTGTCAGCCAAAATAAGTGGAGCATCAAATTAAATTGCCCCGGAGAAATAAACAGCAAAGGCCAAACTAAGCAGGTCTCTAAGTAAATAGCTGACTCAGTGCTGGGAAACTCTGGTGGTGCTGGACCACCAAAGAGGCTGAGGACTCGGAGCATGGAGCTTTGGAATTGCTGCAGGAACCCCTCCGTACTGCTCCAGACCTTGTCAACAAGGAATGAGAAAGGCATGATGGAAAGGAAGCTAGTGAAGACTGTTTTAAGCTACTGTCCTGGGATGACACAGATGAAGACGCCATGCTCCTGATTCGGTACTTCATGTACCAAAACAGCTCCAGGGTGATGTACCACCCCCGGAGACGGGTCCAGGAGCGCTGGAGCTGTCAGTGATGGCGCTGTAGTGAAACATGTAACCTAGAACCCTCTTCCCTTTTCTTTCCTCTTTTTTCATCCCCTCACCTGCTTACCGTTCCTCTTCCCCCAGCTATTATAAAAGAGGACAGTCAGATCAGTCAGAGGCTTTAGTCTCTGCTAGGAGGAAGTATTTCAGTTTCCTCTTTGGCCCCAGAGTAAAGAGATGAAACAAAAGCAAAGACCCCAGCAGTGATTAGCGCTCAGCAGCTCTTAGCTGGTTCCTGCCTATGGCCCCTTTTTAGTGAACAGCTCAGGGGGGAAAAGTGATTGATTTTCATCACCTTGTTGCCTTCCAGGAGATAGGCAGGGTGAGAAGTGGTGGAGATGGTGATGGTGGTGCCAGGCTAGAAGAGCTGGCCATCTTTTGGGTCTTTTTCTAAATGGTTCTGGTGTCATTGACTTTGATTGTGTGAGAGTGCGCCAAATCACTAAGAGTACTGATCTGCTTGTCTGAGCAAGATTAATCTGGCTAAAGTTGCTTTCCTTTGTGACTTGAAAATATGTTGAAAGATGGGAAATGGTAATGTTCATTGATGGAAACGTTCATTCAGTCATTCATTCACAAGATAGTCATTGTGCCTCTCACCTGAGGTCGCCACGCTGTGGTGGACAGTGCAGGTGTCACGCCCTCTTCATCTCGTTTAGTGGAGAAGAGAAGCACTGATAGTAACACACCTGTGCTGCTAACACACCTGTCACAGGAGGAGGGACAGTTCGTCCAATCTCGGCACTCTCCTCCAGTACCTTTCAAGAGCTGATCAGAACTCTGAAAACGAATCCTGTGCAGTTTAGATAATATACATTCTAAAGAACATTTCACGTTTTCTAAGTACATCTGGTAGGTGTGCTTCTGGAAATCAGATATTTGAGGCAGCTATGGAAATACTTTTAATGTAAGGAAAGGGAATAATTAGCCTTTCATGTCCCGCAATTTCCAACTTGGCTGTAATAACCAAGGACCTGTATGAATAGTGAATGCTTCCCCAATCCCATCCTTTTACTTAAGTGGTGTTTATTGCTTTTTGAAATATTCTACCTAAAGTTAGCCTTTTGCTGGCGTTTTATACAATTTCTTTCGGCACTTTGAAGCATCAGGGAATTGAAACACATTTTCTTACTGTTGCCGGTACTTTGATAGTCGCAACTTGCACAATTTATTCATTCTCTTTTGAGCAGTTTCTCTCTGGCTGATTTCTGTGCCCATTAAAAGAGTCATAATTAACTCATAGTTCCTGGCTGCCTCCACACCATTAAGGAAATAACAGTAATAACTTGATTAAAGCAAATCTCACAAAGAAGATGTAAGTGAACACTTTTAAAGAGTGTATTTTAGTACAGGTGTAGTTTATTAGGGATTTAATTAATAAAACTTCCTGAACAAGAAGAATTGTCTCTTTCAGTCCCTTACCCTCTCTGTTTGTTTGCTTTTTTTGTTCTCTCTCAACAGAATACGACCCACCAGGCTATCTCTACCAAGGGTCAGATGTCAATGGGCAGATGGTGGAATACACCACTCTGCCTGGCACAAACCGGATAAATGGAAGTGTTCATGGAAGCTTCAGCAATGGCTGCTCACATCTGCACCACAAAGTCCCCAATGGAGTCAGCGGGAGCTTAAATGGAGGGCTCTACTCCGGGCACGTGAGCTCTCTAACCAGAACACGTGTGGATTTTGAACATCCTCGTCATCTAGTGAACGTAAGAGACCTACTTATAAATAAAAGCCTCCCTGTGCCCCACGATGTCAGGGTGCAAGAACATGGTCAGCACGCGTGCTTTTCCCAATAAAGCAACCTCTCAGGTTCACTGGTGTAGCTGGTGTCACCAGCAGCCTCTTGATCCAGTCAGCTTTTGAAGCTTTCTGTTATCAAGTAGTAGTTGTATTCATCAATCTGAATTATATCTGAGTTATTTAGCACCGAAAGTGCAGGGCCAATTATAAACAGACTGGAAGTTATTCTTGAGATGAAGCGGAAATTCTGTTGGCCATGGACCAAGCCACATAGTTTAAATTTGATTTATTTAGAGCAAAGTCTAAAAACTTATACGCTTAGAGGAGTCAGGCAGATGGTGAAATTGAGTGAAACAAGTTGGGGATGAGACAGAAGTGGTGGTATGGGAGAGCGGTGTATAAGCAGCCCCAGGGGGCTTCCCTGGTGGCTCAGTGGTAAAGAATCGTCCTGCCAATACAGGAGACACAGGTTCGATCCCTGAGCTGGGAAGATCCACATGCTGCAGAGCAACTAAGCCCCTGGACCAGAACTATTGAGCCTGTGCTCCATAGCCTGGGAGCTGCAACTGCTGAACCCACGTGCTGCAACTACTGAAGCCCACAGGGCCTAGAGCCCATGCTCTGCAATAAGAGAAGTCACCGCAATGAAAGCCCCCATATCACAACTAGAGAGTGGCCCCCGCTCGCTCGCTGCAACTAGAGAAAAGCCCTTGTCGCAGTGAAGACCCAGCACAGCCAAAAACTAAATAGATACCATTTTTAAAAAAGAAAAAATAAGCAGCTCAGGTTTAGCGCCTGTTGTCCACACACGCTGTGTGGCCAGGTCTTCTGAGTTTTCACATCTGTAAATCCAGGTGAAATCTAGATTTTTTACATTTGGCAACTAATTCCACTTTGAGGAAAAAGCCTTGCATTGGCCATACACAGCATGGCTGTGTGCCCCCAGATTGTCACTTCTGACCTCCTATGGGGTTTTCTTGATTTGTTTTGCCTCATGTGTGTTTTCTGGTTGCTTATAAGGCTTTTATATTTTATAAGATTAGTGTTCTCTTGCCACAAGGAGTGATAAACCTTTAGTACTACTTTATTTCAGTGCAGTGTAAGAGACCCAGGCTCGATCCCTGGGTCGGGAAGATCCCTTGCAGAAGGGGATGGCAGCCCACTCCAGTGTTCTTGCCCCGAGAATCCCATGGATAGAGGAGCCTGACGGGCTACAGTCCATGGGGTTGCCAAGAGTCTGACTGAGTGACTAACACTTTCACTTTCAACCAGCTGATATACTTTCATTTTGAAATGGGAATAGAATGACTAGTGTATTTTAGACTTGTACTGGTTTAAGAGATTCTCTGCACCAGGAAGCTTGATTTATTACATTGTTTGGATAGTCAGCCACTTTATTTTCAATCACATAAATAAAATGTTTAGTTGATCAAATTAAACACTCATTTACATATTTGTCATTGTTTCAATTACAAATAAATTTGCCATAACCTACAATGTGCTAGAAATGAAGAAGTTTATAGAGACTTTTAAAAAAATTTTAAACAGTAGTAAAGATTTATTAACTCTTTATTAATTTATTAAATTATTAAATATTATTAAATTAAAATATTTTAAATATTAAAATATTTATATAGAATAATATTAAATATTAAAAATATTTTAAATAAAATTAAAATTATTAAATTCATTAAAATCTTACCTTTGGAGACCAAAACTATAATATATATTTGTATCTTAAAGCTAGAAATCTAATGGCTTTCCTGTGATCTAGCTTTAATATGTTGTAGAAAAAATATTTAATTTGCTTTAGTGCATCATTACCAAAAGTGAATAATGATTTCATTATTTTGTATGGAAAGACATGGCTTACATTCAGACTTTCTAAACTTTTTTGTCACCATTCCTAGTCCAAACTACTAACATTGTCCAAGAAACTGAAGGAGAGAGCATTACCGTTTGAATAGCACAGGCTGTTTCCATAAGAAAAAAAAATAAGTCTGATGTTTGCTTTAGTATTTGAACACAGCACTTTGTGTTTTTTGAACAATGAGTTGCTCTTTAAGTAATAGCTGCCCCAGTAAGTGTGCAGTTTTAGGTGTTATCCTCTCTGATCTTAGCTCATTCATTTTCTTACTCTTCTGGATATGTGGAAATAAGGACATTTTAAAAATGCTTTTGATCATAAAATGATTGAATTAACTTTAATATGTTTAGTGAGTCCAATAAATACACTATCCTGTAGGTTCTTAACTTCAGTTTTTTCTAAAGCTTTGGAGTTTATCCTCCTGGACTGAATATAGCATAGGAATATTCTTTCAATGTTTTCTCAAAAGCTCCTGTTGCTAGTTGGATCAGGAATGTTGCAAGAAATTTTCAGTACTTTTGGTTTGCTTAGATTCTGGCTGTTGTTATGAGATGAATGGAAATGGAAAGTATTCTGGGAAAAACAATTGCCTGAACTTTTCCTAACCTTGAGGGCCTGTTCTGGGCTTGGGGAGCAGTGTAACAGCCTCCTCCACCCTTATCAAATTCAGCTCTGCTGTTTTGCTTCTGAAAGCAGAATTTTGACTGTGACCATAAGGCTGATTCAAGTCTTAACCCATTTTCAAGAACTCTTGCCATTGTATATGTCAAGTGAATATTTTACAGTGAGGTATGTGTTAATCTGGGCATTTTTCTTAATTGCTGGGCAGTTTCCGCCAAAAGCAACAGCACAATATTAATACTCCCCTCCAGGTCATCGCTGGCTGAGAATCTACTCCATCTGGAAAAATATAACATGTTTTAAGACTTCATGGAGTCAAGTGAACAAACCTAATCGAAATAATTACAGGAAAATGAAGATGGGTTTATCTTGTGACATCATTCAAACAGATTTCCACCCTGTTTCTCCAGCTAGCATCCCATAAAAATTTTCCATGACTGCTAGGAAAGTAAAAATGAATAGGAGGTTATAACGTATAGTGTATTTTGGGCCCATTAGATTTGAAACACTGAAGGGAAATGACTAAACTTCTCCCTTCATTTATTTCCCTCTTTCCAGTATAAACATACATGCAAAAACCCATGGTAGTTGAGTTTGGGGAGAACAGTTTTAGTATTGTGCACAACTCCTGTGTGAGTATAGGTAAATAGTGATAAACATAGCACAGCTCAAGGAGATGGTTAAAATATACCACGTAACCATTTATTGTTGGTGTGGCTTTATTTAACATTTGAGATGATCTGATTACTAGTCTGTGACACCTTCAGCACTCCCTTTTTCCTTTTTCCCTCTGCTTCCTTCCTGACAAGGGTGGTGGCCTGTACACAGCGGTACCTCCAACTGACCCGATGGAGTGCATTAACTGTCGAAATTGTCGGAACAACAATAGGTATGTTGGTGTGTATTTGCGAGTTGTGAATAGGTGTGCAACTCCGTTTGTTATTCTGTGTTCAGCAGAGCAAGTTCTTGCAGTTTTACCTAAGTTATGTATAAATCTCCGAGTATGGAGTCTTAAGTTTAAGGCTGTTACTCAGTTTTTGCCCCAGCTTTACAATTTTTAAAGCTTCGTGCTTTGGTTTCTTTCGATATATTGACAATATTAAAGGCTTTATTTCTCACTGAGATCCTGTTAGAAGGTTTGATGTTTTTGAAACCTTTAAATCAGTGCCCTTCTCTTTAGATAGACTTTATCTTTTCTCACTTATTCTATTTTCAGTAGAATTTTCTTTTCTATGCTGTATGGTATTTTCTACTCTATATTGTAGATGACAGCCTGTTTGAATGTTAGGGAGGAAAAACCCTGTGTGTATGGTAATGTTTTTTCATGATAACATTACTGAAATTTTCTTATCAGGTTGTTCAATTTTTAAAAAAATCTTAAAACCTTAAGATAATTAAGTAGCACAAGCTTGCTTTCTTTTAATTTCTGTTTTTTTTTTAATTAAGAATTTTATGTGCTCATAATTTTTCAAACAAGATGGAATGTGTAGAGTGATATATACATTTAATTTTTGACAAAACAGTCAGAAAGCTTTCATGCTGCTTTTTTATGTATTAATCCTAAAGGATTATCGGATATTTTGTTGTACTAAAGTTATGTCTGTTGGAAATCTCAGTTCTTTCTTTTACATAATGAGGGTGCTTGATTACATGGTCTCAAAAGTCCTTCTCAGCTCTAAAACTCTGCAATTTAGAAATCATATTACAGTTAGTACATAAAATACCTGGAGTATTGGACTAGAGTTTGGGTATTTCATTATTGAAATGGGATTTGACCCATATTCTAAAAATGAATTATGAAATTAAAAGTTGCATCTGGGAGCTATCAAAGCCAGAACTTAAAGAAGGATCCAGTCAGTCATTGAATTAAAATTACATTGTTTCATCTTGTGTTTTGAGAGTTGCTGAACAAAAGCAATGAAGCTTCCTAGAGATTTTTTTTTCATCATTTGCTTAACCCATTTTAGGGTTTCTGTATTAGCAACAGCCTTCTGCATGTTTTGTGTACCAAGATTTGCTTGTTATATTTTAAAATGCTGTATCACCTTAACTAAATTTTAAGATGCTTGTAACAGTAAAGCCACATTTTTGTCCTGAGTTTGTCAAAGGCTTTATCACACCTTGTTAAGAACATGCTAAAGAATTGGTAAAGATAGTTCATACACCCGGTAAGTAATCAGATGGATTTAATTAAAACACATCCTCTGTGGCTCCTGTGGCCAGCAGCAAATATGATTCAACCCAGACATTAGAATGATGTAGCAAGAGGACCTCAGGTCTAAGAAGAAATCAACATAGGCTTTGCTGCTGATTAAATCTATGCTCTTGGGAAAGTTAATGTAATCTCTCTGAGGCTGTTCCTTATCTGAAAAATGGTGAATTGTCCTAGATAGTGTAAAATTGCTCACAATGTACTCTGATTATAGCTTTTAGTAATTTGCTGCTAATCATCTTTATAATGAGGTACCATATCCTAGTACCAGAAATACATCCCGTTTCCTTAAAAAAATTTGAATGACTTCTGCCATCTTGTGTTCACTGCCATTTTTGTTTGTGTGAGCTTGTGTGTGTGTGTGTGTGTGTGTGTGTGTGTGTGTGTGTGGTCTTTGGAGTTTTATTATACATGGTTTTCTCCTTTAAGACAATCAATATTTCTATTGATTTTCAAGTTAGCGACCTCTTGTATTTCATGTTTGGGGTGTTACTTTTATCTGGAAACAGATGAATTCTCTGTAGCCTTAGAAAGCCAGCTTCAGTTTCTCCCTGGCCCAAATATTCTTCCTACCTCAGAGTCTACCTATTTAGGGCAAACCTTCAGTTTCCTGCCTGGGCTCCAAGGTTAGCCAAGTGGCTCACCTGACTTCTTGGAACACTTATGTGATTTTGATGCAGATTAACATCAATAAGTACCTATCTTCAGCTCTGCAAAATTGGAATCATTAAATCTAAAGGTTTCTGACTCTTTTTAACATTATAATTGAAAACAGGCATCTCCTCTCAATTTCCTCAAGATGGCAAAATTTGTAATAAGCTTTGAATACTGAGAAGTAGATGATATATCATTTATTCCCCCAAATATGCACAATTTTAGACAATTTACACTTCTAAAATATTGACATTATTGCTAAGAATAAGCTTGCATTTCCTCATGCCAACTGAAAAGAGTATGTACTCAAAAAGAGGCATAATTTCAGTTCAGATATATGAGGGCTATCAAGGAGGCATTTTAGAGTTTTTGTCTGTTCAAGCAAAATGAACATTTATTGAGTACTAGCCAGGCACTGGAGTTTCCAGGCAGAAGGAATCAAGTCATGGAAGGAGGAAAGATAACACTTACCTGAGGGTAAATAGTCTAGTTCAGGGGTTATCAAACTTTAGCATGCCCTAGAATTGCTTGGAGCACTTGTAAAAACCAAATTACGAAGCTCTATCTCTACAGTTTCTGGCTCAGTAGATCTAAGGTGGGGACTGAGAATTTGCTTTTCTAGTGCATTCCAGGGGTGCTGATGTCTCTGTTTGTAGGATCATGCTTTGAGAACTGCTGGCATAATTTGGCTGGAGTAGCCAAGTAGAGACTACTTGTGAACCCCTAACTCATTTTATGAGCCTCTAAAGAATCCCCCTACATTGCAGGAGACCTGGGTTCGATCTCTGGGTTGGGAAGATCCCCTGGAGGAGGGTATGGCAACCCACTCCAGTATTCTTGCCTGGAGAATCCCCGTGGACATAGGAGCCTGGTGGGCTGCAGTCCATGGGGTCACAAAGAGTCAGACATGACTGAGCTACTAAGCACATGCTCCACATCAGGGGCTGAAATTCAACCTCTCAATAAAGTACAGTACTTGTGCTCAATCATGTCCGACTCTTTGCGACCCCATGGACTGTAGCCGGCCAGGTTCCTCTGCCCATGGAATTTTTCAGGCTGGAGCGGGTTGCCATTTCCTCCTCCAAGAATCAAACCTGCGTCTCCTGAATTAGCAGGCAGATTCTTCGCCACTAAGCCACCTGGGAAGCCCATAGCAGGTCATAAAACTGGAAAACCAGACTGAGTTTCTATCATGGATCATCCTTACTGTCAGGGTTTAGTAGTTCATTTAATCAACATTTATTGAGTGTCCATCACGTACGAGGCTTCCCTCCAGAGAGCTGACAGTTAATAAGAGGGATTCACAGACAGAGCTTGAAGTATGGTGAGTGGAGTTTGAAGAAGCACATTGAATCTCATAGTTTTATATTTAAGGAATAGAAAAAGCCCCTATTGTTTCTGTAATATAAAATGTAGGAGAGAGATGAGAGTTTTGCATTAATCAAAAAGCAGGGGACATGGGTTAAATGTTGAGACACTCTGGGCTTAGTGGCATCATGATTCTTTTGAAGATGTTTGAGAAAGGGAGCCAGCTATGCAGAGATGTGTTTAGGTTAGTTAATGGTGGTAGGATTGGAGGGAGGAGACCAGTGTGACGACTTGTGTAATGAAGGCCTTAGCTTCATGAAAGGAATGAGTCTAGAAAGGGAGAGCTGAGTTAGATTCTAGAGTTAGAATTTGGGGGACTTGGCCATTGACTGGAATGCACTGATAGGAATCTAGAAAAAGGTTCAAATGAATAGAGAATTTCAAACGTGAATGGCCTGGTAGTCACCATGGTGATAGTCATAGAAACAAGAAACTTAATGAAATGATATATTGAGGGAAGGTGATGATATTGGTTGGATGTTTTTAGAGTTTCAAGTGCCAGTTAATCATCTAAGTCAAGGAGACAGATGAAAATGCTTGTCTTGGGTTCAGGGAGTAGATTGGGACAATGATCTCTATATTTACAAGTCATTTGTATCAAAGTAATAGAACTTAAAGATGGGTTGGACATTTTGAAGTTCTCTACCTGCCTGTAAAAGTTGACCATTTTAAAGATATTTGGTGGGGGGTGCAGATTTTTGTTTTATCAATAAGACATTTATTTGGAAATGCATAAGTATGTGTATATGTATTCACACATGTATACAGAAATTGCTATTTTTGTAGGATAAAAGTTTGAATATCACCAATTCCATATTGCCTAATAAAACTAAGTTTGAAAGAAAAATAAAAATAAGTGGGAATACTAATGGAGACAGTAACCTTGGCTGATTGATTATTTTTATATATTTAATTTTTAAAGGCTTTTATATCTTAAGTATTTGAAATAATTAGACATCTTTTTCATAATCCCCTCGTATTTTCCTTACTGCCTTGATATATTTTCAAAGAGGTGAGGCAAGGGGTGTGATAAAATCAGGAGAACGAAAATTAAAAGAGGATTCAATCATTCATCATTCACTCAACAGATATTTTTTGAAAGTCTTTTGTGGACCAGGTGCCAAGCTAGGTCCCGAGGCTACAGTTGTGAACAAAACAGGCATTGTCCTTGCCTTCACTGAGCTTATAATTTGATGGGGAGACACATCTTTTTTCAAAATGGCATAAATAAATTGTAAAAATGAATAAATAATTCAAACTGGGTGCTTTAAAGACAATATGAAGAATGCATTAGAAAGGAAAGACTTCACTAAGCAAGTGACACTTTACGTGAAGAATTTGTAAAATTAGGTCAAAGAGAATGGGGATAGGTTTAAAGCTTTCCAGGCAAAGGCAAGGTACTGTTTATGTAAAACCTTTAAAGCAGAATACTGAAATCCTGGGACTTTCCTGGTGGTCCAGTGGTTAAGACTGCACTCCCAGTGCAGGGGGGCCCAGTTCAATCCCTGGTCAGGGAACTAGATCCCACATGCCATACTAAAAGATCCCGTGTGCCCCAACTGAGACCCAGCACAGTCAAATGAATAAATATTTCTAAAAATAAATAAATAAGTAAATAAAAAGGGACTGCCCTGGTGAACCAATGGTTAAGGGAG